AAGTGATCTCAGTATGTTTTAGTGCCATTTTAAAAGTATATTTTCATTAATATTGAAAAAATATTGTCTATCACAATTATTCTGGCCAAGATAATCGTGACATGTAATTTTCATATTGTCCCATGTCTAATTCAAAGACACAATGTGCAATTCTCTAAGTCGGTGGCTCTATGTAGTGTTCTGCCTTATAGCCTTTCAGATTAAAAGATAAATGTCTAAACTTTTTGTGATTTTTTCCACACCTTGATGATTGAGGTAAACCTTCAGACATTTTGCTTTAACTATTACCATGTTCCTGAAAGTTTGCACTTAGGTGTACTCGGTATGTATAAGTCATTATACCTGTGCCTGTTTTAATCAATTCAGTATGGAGAGTCACACTGTTAAGATTTAAAGAAATAGTTTGAGATTTTGGGAAAGTTAACACATATTCACTTTCTTGCTGATAGTTAGATGAGAAGATAGATACCATCTTCAACTTTGTATAGTACATATGACGCTATAACGCCACAACCAGCAGTTGGTTAGTTTAGCATAGTAGAATCTTCCATCTTCCAGCAATTCAAAGCTCACTAATTAACATGTTATAGTCTATCTTGTTTGTTTAATTCATACAACATTTTGTGGTTTTACGAAGAAGTTGTGTGACTATTTCTTGGCCAGGCACAGTCTGGAGTCTCATTTGGATGACAAAACTTCAATAAGTGGAGCACCACGGTAGTTCACCTGGTGAGTCCTTAAGTGGCCTAAGTTCGATTCCAACACAGGCTCTTTGCTGCATGTCATCCCCCCTCTCTCTCTTCTGCCTTTCCTGCATCTCTCCAGCTGTCATTGTCTAATAAAGCATACAATGCAGAAGAAAATATGTAAAAAGACTTCAATCAGACTTCAGTTACTGTTCCCAGCCAAGGAATAGTCTGCCACATAACCCACTGTAAAACCATAAATTGTCATTTTTACTCTTCCATTTTGTATGGATTACACAAACAAGATAAAATGTGTTTATTAGTAAGCTTTAGAAGTGATGGTGGATGGATTTTGTTACTTTTGGACAGAGTCAGGGTAGCTGTTTCCTTTTAAGCAAATGTGATCAAGTTGATCAAATCTCTAGTTTCAGTCAAGATCAGTTAAAGAAGATTGTACCTTTTCCCCTGCTTGAAAATAAAGTATTCTACCCCTTTATTAATAATAGTATTCATCTCTCACTAGGACTCCCCATGTTGTCTCGTATTAGAACAATGAGTTGTTCATACAGTATCAAGAGAATCTGGAGATGAAAAGAAACCACAGAGTTGAGAAAGTCAAATCAAAAGGTCATGTACATTTTTTGTGTGTCTCACTTTGAAGTGTAGAGCTTCAAGCTACGTTGGCATGAATAACTCATACAGCTGAGCAGAGGCCATAACACTGGGGTCACATGACAAAAGACTTTCTGCATGACACTTCTGCTTTATTCTGATTTCACAACCTTTTTTGTAGAAGAAACAAAAACGCTACTGTTGTAACTTAAATTTCCTATTTATATAACTCAACAGCACTTTGTCATGAAGTATCCTCCTAAAAACCTTTCCAAACAGTGGGATAATAGAGCATGATGCAGTAATGAACACTGATATTTCAGAATGGGAAAGGTCAGCATTCTAACAGCAAGACTTCTCTAGAGAACATTAGTTGCTATTAGATATAACCCTCATATTTTTGTAGATATTTATGTTTTTACTTGAATTAAATTATTACTGTAGGTGGTTATCTATCAATTTATCTGATTCACTTCAATCTGTTCAAAATGCTTATGTTAAAAAAAGCAATTGCTTAAAAAGAACAGATAAATATAGAGCCGTAATGAGAACGATTAGACTAAAAAAAGAACACAAGCAGACAGATGAAACAGGAGCAATTCAGGTGTAGATCTAAACCTTTGTCACAGAAATGCATGAAGTATGAATATGGAGCTTTTTCTACTTTAAACATAACTGAAGCAAAAATCAAAACCACTTTTCTATATTGTCACACTGCTGTTGACACTGGCTGTAATGTCATTCACTGACCATTTCATTTGACTGTACCACATTCTAATTGTCCAGATCTATAACTGAAAGTAAAATCAAGGAGCTCTGGACTACCTGCTTAAAAATACAATAGAGAGAAAATACCTCATCTTTAGCTTTCTTAGAAGGTGTATATGTCAAGCTTTTTACAGAAAATTGGAAATGTATTTAAATATATTATGATGTTTACATATAGATATAAAGATATATGTAGATATATTATTAAGATAATATCGGACTTTTGACCAAAAAGTTGAAAGAAAAGTTATCTTACACTGATATCTCAGTACACATACAAGTGGTTTATGGGTTTCCAACACACAGGCACAGCAGAGTAGCCTTTATGTTTTGTCTTAGGCCTGAACCGATCCATGTAACAGTTGCATTAACTCAAATGTAACAGAAAGCCATTACATTAAAATTCTCCACTGTGTGAGCCTTTAATCAGGCTCTCTGCCTGTCGGAGCAGAATTACAACCCCCTAGTCTGCCCACCTGCTCCCACCTAAAGCATAACAAAGAATGACTTGCGCCACAAAAGTTTTGGCAAAGATGTACCTGCTAGAGTCATGCAGCTGTCATGCAGCCCTGTAGCACAATCTGTAGACATGTATGCTTATACATATTTGATTACTGTTGTCTCAGAGTAGCCCTGCACCTGTTCCATTCATTATAGTGCTGGGCAGTTTTATTGGTGCACCATTTGATTTTTGTATTTATTCCTTACTTACTAAGATATACTGGGAAATTTAAAATGTCAAACTTGGTGCATAAAACATTAATAACACAACTGATAAAACGTAACTGTATTATTCATATAAACAAGAGAGAAACCAATCAACACCAAAGAACATCCTGAGACACTTAATACAACCAATAAAAACTCTGCATCAGCCTTTCCTCAGATTTTATATATATGTGTGGAGTTTAAAAAACAAGATAAAACATATGTAGCATTACTTTAAGTTTTTTTGTTGTTGTCTTTCTATGAGGTGTATAAAAAATATAATCCACATGATGAAGCTCTAAAGAACAATACTTTTTTTAACTTCACTGTATGACGCATAAAAACATAAAAATAGTGACTCATCAGCAACAATGTTTCAAAGGGTGTCAATAACACTGACCAGCCCCACAGCGAGAATACCAACTGGTGGAGGGTATAAACAGCAACAAAACGATAATGTGTTTGTTTCACTTGGCAGTCATTCGCTATTTTACACTTTGCAATCAAACATTTAAATTAAATGTTTACGCCTGGAGTTTGTCTGGTCCTAATAAAGCTGTAGGGTTTTCACTTTAAAGGAACTCTAAAGTTTCATTCTTGGGGGCTGTGCGAACTATTTATAGTGAACTTTAAAGATGCACAAAGACGAGACAAGCTCAAAACTCCCCTGACAGCCAATTGTAAATAAAAGTACTCTCCCATGGCTAAGACGATTCAACATCAAAGAAAAAAGAGTGAGATTTCTCAAGTGGCAGATGGTAAGCCTCCTTTGACTAATAATAATTTTAGATAAAAAGGTTTTAAAAATAAATCGCCAACTAGCTTTTTTGCAGACCTGTGCTTGTCAAGGCCCTTCATCATCTGTTACTGTTTGTAAACGATCAGTAATTATTAGCAGAGGGTGCATGGTTGACACATAGTCTGATACATCTCTACAGAACTGTATCCTTGAGTGGATAAAAACTTTCTTAGATATCACTTGTGTTACAACTGTGTGGGAGAGGTAATAATAACAAAGGCCAGAATGGTTACAGCTCTAACTAAAAGTGTTATACAACATATTCTCATTGACTTCTAGAAAGTGTAAACATTCTGCTAAAAAGATCATTTGTTCAATATGATGCTGTTACAGTATATTTAAATTACTATCTTTCCATCATCATTCAAAACAATGGTTTTTGACCAACAATTTGGTAAATGACAGAGGAACTTTTTTAACAGGAGTTAGTGCCACATGAAAGGTCAGGGGGTGACAAAAAACATCAGAAGGGATCTTCTAAAGGGATCTAAACCAATGTAAACCAGAGTTTTTGAAATGTTTTTCTATGTTTCAAAGAAGAATGAGATGGACCTGAGCATTGCTTTTCTCAAGACAAAACACGAGTTAAAACTCAAAACATAGTCTAAACTATATAAGAGAGCAGATCAGTGCCTTGTCACCCATTTGTGCACCAAGGGAAATTCAGTGCCAAAATGTACTTGATTCAAAACCTCAAGCAGTAACTCTACATGTAAATTACATAGTGATTTACACTGTTGGTAACAAGAAAATATACTCATGTTTTACTCCCATGTAATGACATTAAAACAAATGTTTAAAAGTATCATTAATTATTGGATTTTGTTGTTTCTATTGTCAGTGCTTGTTTTAAAGGCCACACAATCAATCTGGGAGTGACTGCAGGTCCCAATCCTGTGTTTTGAATTTTGTTGTCAGGGTGATTGAGATCAGGGATTGTACCTTTATGGACAATTTTAAGACTCAACACAATAATAAATGGCTGTGAGGGTTGTAATTAAGAGCTCTCTCTCTCTCTCTCTTTCTCTGTTTGGTTGTCTCTCTCCCCCTGATTCACTCACTCATCGGGGTCTCTTTCACTTTGCGTTATCTTCCCTCCCCTCCCTTTCTCTCTCTCTCTCTCTCTCTCTCTCTCTCTCTCTGTTCTCTCTCTCTCTGTGTATCTGTGACCGGCTTTGTGTAGTGAAGCAGCCTCAGAGGTATCTGACACCCTCCAGCACAGCCAGGTGCACCACTTCAGTGATGCGACCTGTCTCCAACTGTTTACTAAAAGTAGGCTACCCTCTGAGAAGAGCCTAAATTGCCCTTAATTTATACATACAAACATTTTTTTTTTTTTTCAAAGAAAGAAAAGTACAGGGGCGCACTGTGCTTTTACGCATGGAAGTTGGAATCAGCCTAATTACATTTACGCATGGCTCGTCTCTTCGGAAGATGCGTCCGGGCTTATAAGAGCTTGTCAGGGCGTCAAGAGCGGGGTAAAAAGTAAGCAACGATGCGGGGCACTGAGCTGCTGCTCGGTTACTTTCTGGTGAAAGTTATGGTGTGCGACGCGGAAGGCGAGCCAGGTCAGACCGTCGACGACTTCATGATAGTGACGGGGTTTAACGACTCAAAGGAAGAGGACAGCGGAGTCACGGAGAGCCCGCACATGGAGGACAAGTGCCGCGGCTACTACGACGTGATGGGTCAGTGGGATCCGCCGTTCGTGTGCAGGACGGGCAGCTACCTGTACTGCTGCGGCACCTGTGGCTTCAGGTTCTGCTGTGCGTTTAAAAGCTCCCGGCTGGACCAGACCACCTGTAAGAACTACGACACCCCGCCGTGGATGATGACAGGAAGACCACCACCAAAAGTGGACGTGGCACTGGACACCGCGAAGGATAAAACCAACCTCATTGTGTATGTAATATGCGGGGTCGTGGCCATAATGGCACTCATAGGAATTTTCACCAAGCTGGGTTTGGAAAAGACGCACCGTCCGCACCGAGAAAATATGTCAAGGTAGGTTATAATTGTTTTCTTTGACAATTATTTTAAAATTGTGAGTTACTTGTCTTTTCACGCCGATTTGATCTGTCAAAACATTACACACAAAAAATATGTTAGTGAGCCCTGAGATATTAACTTGCCTCCATGTGGAACAAAACCCCTAATTTCATCAAAACCCTATGCAATCCTAAAGCAACAAGTTGTTTTGTAAAAATAAAACTGTGTAACACGATTATAGAAACGTTTATTTGCACTCAAAGTACATTTTAAAAGTGATATCAACCTGGGAAAATGGTTTTAGTTCAGTTTAACATAATTTTCCTTCCTGTACAGTACATGTACATTTTTGTCAATGTTACAGAGTGATATTTTAATTTGACACTGAGGACTATCAGACTTGCCAGTGATGTTGAATCCAAGGACAGGGTCAGCTGTTACACATAGAACATATTTATTTTCTGCACATCAAATCCTGTGATGCATCATTAAGTTTCTGCTTTTTACTACATTTAGTAAAAACGGAAATTTGTGCTGCATCTTGTTTTTAACATATGTTAAAATGTGAAAATTGTTCCCAAAATTGCCTATTGCAGACATGAGCAACAAACACCTAATTAGTAAACACACAAACACACACTATCTCTCTGTCTCTCTCTCTCTCCCTCTCCCCATCTTTCTCAAACACATTTCACATATGCACACAAAGAGGTTTGCAGCCTACTCAGGAGACTGATTTTGGGCTGAACAATGTCTGCACTGAGGAGACACTTATGTCATTAGTTCTGTGAAAGAGCATTAGCCTGTAGTAGTCCAGGCTAAAAAGACACAAATGTATGAGAACATTTTAAAGTTTTATTTTAACAATAAAGATTGCATAGATTTTTGTAAATAATGGCAATGATATGCTTGTAGACTGATTTACCTAAAACATTTCATCACTTGTTGTTTAAGTAAACAATGCACCATAATGTGATAATCCCTGTAAACAGATATGCGCATATGAATGCAGAATCTGTAGGCAAGCCAACATCGGAAGTGTTTCTGCTTTCTGTTTGTAGTCTGAGTAGTATAAATTGACCATGTTTGAGGGGACTTTGGTTGCATGCAGGTAAGCAGTCTGTATGGAGAGCAAAAGAAATGAAACGCATTGGACGAAATGCAATCTCAGAACCAACTGGCGCTCATCTCATGACAATTTAGAAGTTTAATACGTTTTTTTCTTAAATGTATATATGCAGATTTATGGTTTTAGAGATTAGCCAAAATGTGTCATCCTTGTCCTTCTTGCGTATCAAGCTGCTAATTGGACTGCAGAGAAAGTCTTGGCCCGGATATCCATTATCCATTTTCCAGATAACCACTAGCTTACACCAGAAGAAACATTGGCCGTTGCCCCCAGAGGCTAAATCATTGCCAGACGATAGCAGATGGATTCTGAGATTGATAATTACTTTTACACTGTAATTTTGAAGAGATTGATAACAAAGGAGCCTAGAGTTTTTGATATAGACAACTTGAATCTGAGCTGACACCTGTGATAAAAGCTAATTACAAGAGGCCTTGGCGATGCTGAACTTATGCCACAAAGTTATTTAATATATTACTGTATGTAGCCAAAAAACATATAACAAAAAAAAAGTGCAATTTTTAAAGTTCACCTACCACTTGACAAGAATGGACATTTTTTACCTGGTAATAATTCAAAAAGCAGAATTATGCAAATATTTTTACTTAAAATAATACCAAAATTGCTTTGATGGTACACTGACTTGTAATAGGCAGAATAGTTCCATTCCCACTCTGTTGAATGCCCGTTCTTGGCACGATCTCTGCGTAACACAACCGCGCTACGTCACACACCACTAACTATGGATTTCAACTAAGAAGAAGCTTGGTATTCTTAGTATGTATGTGTCTATTATTTTTCCAACCTATTCACGTGGGTCCCCCAAAGTATGATGGCTACAATAGCATGGTAAATATAATATGGGGTACTGAATTTCAGGAATTTACTATTTGTCAGACCACAAGTTAGACAAGAAATAGGTTAGAAAAACAATAGATGTCAGAGCGGAGTGTTTCTGTTAGATAGTTATCCATGCTGCCAGCAGTCCTGATGCTGCCCGGAGTGGGAGCTTGGAGCACCGGGGAATTGTTGGTGCTACACCCCTTGCACAGGAGCTTTGAACCACTTGGAGGAGGGGGTCTTCAGGCATTGGGCAGGGGGGAACCAGCATGGAGGGCTGGCTGGAATCAGCACCTGGGCTCAGCAGCCTCCCAGTGAGCACGGCCGAAATGGGACCAACACAGCCTGCGAGAACCGAAGAAGGCCAGTATGACAATGGCAGTCCAAAGCTTGTGTGCTAGCGGGAATACTCAAAACCAGTACCTACATGGCTAACTGAGCTTATCAGCTACTGACAGCTACACTTAGCAGCAATTAGTGGTTACTGTAGCAACAAGTAAAGCTATCTATCCATCAGGAAATCACAAAGAGTTGAGGCAGAGTAGTTGGAGAACCAGCAGTTTCATCTGAATGCCATTTATAACGTTTGAGCCATACAAAGAATTAAAAGTCAGGATATCTTAGCCTCTACCTTTTTGACCAGTAATGTTAAAACTCTTCAAACCACCAACATACAAAGAATGTGACTTTGACATCAGAGGTTACAGTTTGTCTTCTGTCCCCTATGTTTTTTTGTTTACCATGAAGGTTACCTTTCCCCAACCATAACCATAAGTAAATAACTTCTGTAAATGTCTGTAAATTTGGAGGGAACAGACAAATGTTTTACTTTGTAATTTAAGATTACTTTTAAGTGAAAGCCGGAGTGCACTGCTGGCCTGCACAGAATCTGTACTTGTTATTTACTAAAAGATTTCCTCTCTCTGAGATTGTTCTTCATCTTTCCAGAGCTCTTGCACATGTTATTCGCCATCCTGCCTCAGAACATACGGATGACATTGGACTTGGCCAGCACTACGAGAACATACAAACCAGAGTCACAGTTAACAGTCTCCGTAAGTACTGTGACATCAGCAGCACACATCACCTAGCTACACACGAGAGAGCAGTTTGTTTAATATGCTGGGCTCCATCTATTCCCTAACGCTGCTGCCATCTGCTTTCACTGACCAGAATCACACCACCAACCAATTTTCAATATACTCATAGGTTTCTTAAAACAAATATAAACCTAAAATTGTGAGCCATATATATATGCTAAATTAGGTGTGGAACAGGAAGTGGTAGAAGGGAAAAAAAGGTCCAACCACAATCCTGTGAGATGGTGGAGCAATTATTCGTGCCTTCAGCAATCACTTAACATACACACTAATTACTACAGACAACCTGGAGCTCTGTTTCTTAGCCAATATTTATTGTATGAAAAAGCCTCACACATTAAATCACACTCTTATTCTCTCGTTCATCAACACCAACACCTACACACACCCACACAGTTAGAAAAGTTCTTATTATGTCAACCTGCTTACTGACTTGACAGCTCCAGTCAATAAAGGTCTCTCTGCCTCCCTCCCTACTTTTCTCTTCAAGCTAGATAATTATGGCAAATGGCAACTCATATTAAAAAAAGGTTTAACAGACACAGTCAAGGAGAATTTATATGTTTGTATTCTTCATTTATAAATACCTGCTTTAGCTGAATAATTGACTTTTAAAAAGTAAATGCAGTTAATTCCTTGGCTCAACTGAGGATAAACTATCTTGATACTGACTGATTAGATCCAATGACATGCAGTATTTAGTGAAAGAACCTCACATCCTGTACAATAGAGGTTAGAAGCAAAGAAATCAATAAAATAACTCATCCAGCCAGATTATGACTTAGTGCTTCAGTTACAGTATAAAAAGAAAAACAGAAATCAAACTGAATAAATGACAGTATGTTATATACTGATGTTCTTAAATCTAAGTGCTTCTCAAGTTGTTTCACTTGATGCAGAATCAAATAAATGCAATATCAGGGATTATCCCTTACCTATGGAACATTGCATGATCTTTATTACAACTGAAGAGTACAGCAGGTGAGTTCACTGATTAGTTTGGAAGGTTTGCTAATTAGTGAAAACACCTGGTGTAGTCTGTGACTGGAATAAAAAACAGCCTGTTCTTGGCCGACATAGCAGATGACTGCCTATCTCAAATTACCTCATCATACAAAGCCAGGATTTAGTTGCACAAATATTTAAGAATTTTCAATGAGCAGACTGTCTGTAATTAATCTAAATTGATCAACTCATATGCATACGTTTATTACAAATTAACAAAATAAACAAGATAAACAAGAAAAACTAAATCTTTTTTAACCCAAGCTGCTGAGCCAAATGTTCTTCACAATGTTTAGATGCAAAACTAGTGGAAATTCTGACAGACTTACAAAATTACAAGCCCAAATGGTCTAAAATCCTCAACTGCCTTCAAACAATAATACCTTATGAGTGATCCGAAACATAGTAGCAATCCTAGGAATGTGCATTACTTGGTTGCAGAAATGTACTGAAACACCTCAGCTAAAGACAAAGGCTACATGTGTTAAACCTAATTGTGGTATTTTAACATTGCAGCCACAAGGCCACTGTACTTTATGTCACCATGCAACTTTGTATTCCCATTTTACCATCCCATTATATTTACTGTAAATATTACTTGGGTGAGACACCCAATTTAACTTCATACAAAAACTAACCTTAAAATTGAAAGGAATTCTATTTTAAGAGCCAGATGTATTTTTCTTTTAGCTGAGATATTTTTTTTGCTCCCTAAAATCAGCTGAGGTGAGGTGTCAGCACTGACATGATAATTAATCATTCTAAAATCAGAGCTCTTTCCTACCTTACCTCCTCACAGAATAATTATCAGTTCATTAAAAACCAGCCAACACGTTGACAGATAGGACTGGTCTTCATTAGTGTACAATGTACACTGTACTTTTTATATTGTAGTATACTGTGCAGCACAATTCAATAAAACAATGTGTTTGCTAATTGCACATCAGAAAATAGTTTTTTATACTTACTCTGCCTGTATAGATTGAAGTTATACATTGGTTTGTCAACTAAAAAACAAGCAGCTTAGAATAAAATAGCAACAAAGGAGGAGGTGTTTGTGCACTGCTTTTTGAGAGCAGTAACTGTGCTAACATGTTGTGGTGAGAACACTACACAAACTGTAGGTGAACCCACCTGGGTACGTGTCCTGTAAAATCCCATTTTTCCTGCCAGTCCCTGGTGTGAATGAACAAAAATGATCAAAGATGTGAGATAACAGAACATCATTGTACTGTCACCTACTTAAAAGGTTATGTCGCTTGTGTAAAAAAGTGAAAATTGAATTGCTTTGAAAAATGTGCAGTTGTCTCTTTCCACCTGTTTCCTTCTGAATCAGAAAATAACGTTATACCTGACTATTGTTATATATTTATATTAATATGTTTAGTTTTAGTTTAAGTCTGTAATAACTTGGAAGAAATATGGCAACTGACAAAATGATTCTTGTCCATAGCAGCATAAAGACAATCATTACAATCTAATTATACTGAGTACACCATACTCATTTACAAACCTGCAAAGAAATATCTAAATTATTTAGCAAATTTGCAATGCGTTATACTTGCTTTAGCCTTATCAATATAGTGTAGGTTCTCAGGTTTATAACTGCAGTATCAAAATAAGCGAAGACACAAGCCTCTTTTGCTTTTGCCTGATGGATATTGAACCTGATTGCTGTGGAACACCTTAGAGAAGCACTTTTGCAGTATAAATGGTAAGAAGATTTATATTTTATTCAAGCTATTTAATTCCTATTTTACTACATTGAATAAACAAATAATGTAGCTTTTCCTTTGTTTAGTGACCTTGGAGATGGAGATTTACTGTATTGGCTGCTGTATCTTATAGGGATCCAGTGTAACAGAGTTGGCCACAGCAGAGGGATGATTGTTGTTTTCTTGACAGAAATCCTTGCAAGGTTACAAGAGATGATTTGATATTTTCTGCCACATGGATCCGGCCTGTACTTGTCCTCTCCAGCTGTGCTTTCCAGTGGCAGGTGTGACTATACCCCAGCTATAACAGTCACTGTATATTACATATTGTGGTACAAAGCAGTGATTGAAATGCTCCAGAGGGAGCACCTTTTCCTCACCTGTTGTCTGTCAAAGCTAACAAAAATCTGTTCGACTGGCCTATGAGCTCTCATTCTCCTCAAGACACCAGTAATACAGATTTTGTGAGCTGGGTTTCTTTGGCTACCACTACTATCATGTTCATGTCCTGCTGGCCATGTGCGTACATGGGGCAATTGTGAAGTGTGGCTTCTTTTTACTCTAGGCAGCCAGCCAGAGAGAACAAAGTCTCCGCTCACTGCCAACACTCCACTGGTGCATGACAGTCCATTTCCTTACTGCCAGATAGAAATGTATTTCAGCAGCATTACCTTTGACAGCAGCTGAGAAATGCACCCTGCCTATGGTTCTATTTTCCACCCGCCACATACTGTACACTGAACTGTTTACCGAAGCCGAATACTGAGAGCTTAAAAATATTTGGATGGAGATGTTTTTGTTTCACTCTTAAATTTTTAAAAGTTGTCATGATATAGACCACAGATACAGTGGGGCTATTAGCCACTGAAACACTGAGAAACTTTTTATATAGTTTTTCAACATTGTGTACAAACTTAAAGCACCAGTGTGTAGGATTTAGTGACATTTAGTGATAAAGTTGCAGACTGCAACCATCTGAATACAGCTGAGCCTTCCAAGTGTGGAGGAGAAGTGGTCATGAAACTTGCGAAAATCATAGGGCCCTATCTCTGTATATGGCAGTTCAATATGGTGGATTTTTCAGGTGATTATTAATAAAAGCAATTATGTGCATGTTTCTTGCTACATTTGAAGTTTAATTATTTTCCCCTATTTCTCTACATTTTGGGTGGTGCATCTCCAGTCTTTACTCTATTTGAAAGATGCAAGGGAATTATCATCTTGAATTTATTCTAATGGTGTCTGCAGCTTTCTAAAGCTCCAACTGTGTCACGCAACATCAGCAAAATTAGACAGTAGATTGGGCTTTTCCAAAGCAACAGGGTATTATGAGTAAAGTTTGGTAAATATTTCTCTTTCTTTCTTTTTAGGAGCTCAAGAATAAAAATCTGAGTTATATTTGTATACAAGTGACAGACAGAGTACAGAGAAACTGTAATATAATGTATTATTGTAAGTTTGACAAACAGGGGTAATACTGTGAGCAATACTTTACACATGTAATTCAAAAATCGTTCTGAATAATGTAAATTTTGTTTTTATGAGATTCACAATAACAGAGATAACTTGTTGAGGCACGTTTTGCCCATCTCAGGCTATGAGGGTGTTCTGCCACTGAGTTATGTTTAGGGTAATTGACTGTATGAATAAGCTGACAAATTATTACATAATTACCATTTTAAACCAATTATCAACTTAAAAAACAACTATATTCTCTGATTTCTTAAAAATAATGGCATCAGCCAAAAATAATGTTGCTGTTTTTTTTTTTTACTCAAATCAATAACTTTAAAATATGTTTTATGCAGTTTCAGAAATTGTTAAACACATAAACCAATGTCGACAAATGACTCAAATGGATTATCCTTGCTTAATAATATTACCTAATTAATGAATAATAATAAGAATTATGTACACATATTAATACAGCGTTTGATGATGAGTTTCAGCAGTTTGACAGAAATTGCAAGATACTGAGAGAGAATAGAATATTTTCATCACTAACTTGAAAGTAGGCTGCCTGTAAATAAGAGCGCCCTTCTCCTTGTACCATTTATTTTGGGGCATACAGCTCCCAAAATACTCTCTTAAATCTTTTATGAGTTCCAGGGAGGTGTCTGTGTCTGGAGTGTTAACTTGCTTATTGCCCGCAACAACCATGGTGTCTTTAACCTTACAAGTCTCCAGAAGTGGCCTATTTTCTTCCAGCAGCTGACATAAAAGTGGTGACTCTGACAACAGTACAAGCACAAATGACACTCAGGGAGATAAACAAGCACATACATCAGCACTTCTGTTTAAATTGAGTTTGGCATCATGAAAATAGCAAAGTTGCACTGTCCTCATTTATTAACTGCAGTAAAATCTATTCCCCATCTTAGAGTTTATATAGAGGAAATTTGAGATACCAGAGATGCAGACAGGCTGAAAAAATAAATATTTATGTATGACCTTATTGGCATACAAAACAATTTGGCAGTGTAAATAAAAAAGTATTTAAATCATTTACATTCAGTGGCTTCTACCCTGACCCTGACCTTGACTGGATTATCAAATAAGCACAGTGGTACTCCTGAGTGGATGGTGCAACTAATGAGAATATAAATAGTTTTCCATGGTTCTTAAAAGGTACATTTGATCAATGTACCCATGTACCCGGGATTTCCTAAAGAGCAGTATTAAACCTGTATTAAACCTGGTTAAATAAATCACAAGTAAAGTAAATTCAATGTATTCTATGGAGGCAGATAATCTAATTTCACTTTTATCTTAAACAAGAACACATTGAATAAGAGCCTCTGTGCATGGCCCACTTACAATGAATTGTATTAAACTGAAACAGGTCAACAAGCCCAGAAAGGAACCTGACACGGCAACACAGATAGACTTGATGCTGAGATTTTCTGTTACAATTTTGGAGAATTTAGTTATTTTTGCAAGTTAAGCAGACTATGACAAGGCATTTAAAAACTATTAATATTAGATAATGAAGATATGAGAATAGCAGCAGGTGGGTACAGAGAGACTGGAAGCTGCGGCTTTGGTGATTGCACTGTTGCTACGAGCCATCCATTCCCCATACAAGTGGGAGCTGTGTCCATATTCTTGGCACAAAGTCAAACACCTTTCCAGTGGGTGTTGGCCTCCGCCAGGGTTGCCCTTGTCACCAGTTCTGTTTGTGATATTCATGGACAGGCTCTCAAGGCACAGCTGATGGGAGGAGAGTATCCGGTGAGGGGACCTCAGAATTGCATCTCTGCTTCTTTCATATGAAGTGGTTGTTTTATCAGACTGTGATTTTCACCATGCACTGGTGCAGTTTGCAGCAGAGTGTGAAGCAGATGGGATGAAAATCAGCACCTCCAAATCTGAGGCCATGGTTCTCTGTCGGAAATAGGTGGATTGGTCCTTCTGGGTTGGGAGTGAGTTACTGCCCCAACTGAAAGAGTTCAAGTATCTAAGGGTCTGGCGAGTATCTCACGAGTGAGGGCAAAAAGAAGCATTAGATGGACAGGCGGATTGGAGCAGCATTAACAGTGATGCGTGTGCTATACCAGAAGAGGGAAGAGAAAGCTGAGCCAGAAGGCAAAGTTGTTGATTTACCACTATGTCCCAACTTCACCTATGGTCATGAGCTTTGGTTAGTGACCGAAAAAAATTGGATGACAGACACTGGCTGCCAAAATAAGTTTCTTCAGTAGGGTAGGGCTTACCCTCGGAGTTAGAGTGATGAGGTCAGACATCTGGAGGCAGCTTGGAGTAGAACTACTGCTCCTTTGCAGCAAAAGGAGCCTGCTGAGGGGGTTCAGGTCCCTTTGAGGTTTTCAGGGCACGTCCAACTAGTCGGAGATCCTGGGCTGTCTTTCTTAATGACTATAGCTTTTAATAAGGCTTTCAGTAAAACTGAATAATATGAGAGCTTGTTATGACGCAATCTCAATCATAAGGAGAACACAGTGGCACCATCAGTCTTTTGCTACCTTAAATGACACCCCAAAATCTGATCTTACTAATTACACCGTCCCCTTGATGAGGAGTGCTGAAGTCAAAGCTGTCCCTGCATCATTTCATGAGACAGCATTGATAATTTGAGACTTTCCAAACTAATTAGCACAGTAAAAGTTTCTTGCTGACCAGTGGGGAATAAGAGCCTAATTAACCTATTTTCTGTATTAATTATCTGTTTTTATCGGACACATTCTAGACCAAGGACTAGTGGACACATTTTAATGTTTGTAAACTTTAACCAGTAACAATGGCAGTGATGGTTGATGGACTTTTTTTTTTGTCTTCATACCCTTTAAGTTATTGGTGCCAGACTCACAGTGGATTAATCCTTGCAACTCCTCTGAGCAAGATTACCTTTAAGATAAACTATTTACGCCATGACAAATAACAGAATGGGTCTTGAGTCACAACCCCATGATATTTAAAATAACCATCATTATGATTTTGTGCTTAAAGCCTAAAAGGAGAAGGTAATTAACGAATGATGAAAACTATCTGCATCAAGTATTGGTCCATAAACATGTTGAGAGATATATATAAAACACACAGCACATGCAGTCTTCAAACTGTTGCCTGTGAAATGGTGCATTCCACTAATCTCCAATCTAAACGAGGAAAAGACACTCTGAACATCTGTTTGTTCTGTCATGCCAGTAGGCAGGGGGCCAGTCTATTTGCTTTGCACCCTTTAATTTACCAGATGTCTACTGTAGGATTAGTACAGTTTTACAAAGAGCGGTCATGATTCTCCAGCTGGGTCCCCATAAAAAACCTACTTAAGGGAAAGTGACACTATCAACTTACAGAGACAATTATTCTATAGAAAAATAGGAATTCGACCTCATGTATCACTTTGAGGAAACCAAGCCAGTTTAAATTAAATAAAGAAATAGTAAAAATAAAATAGCTAAACATACAATTATAATATATGATCAGATATTGCATTAAATAATGCTAATTGTTTGCAAATTTGAACACATTACCTCAATGATTAAGGGAAACACAGTGCAAACAACAGAAACAATCTCTTTTCTGCATTAACGACTTTTGTTTTCCCTCCTTTAGATAGCAACCAGACAAACAACATGGTTCAAACATCTACTCTGATAGCACAGCCTTATCCACCTGTGGGACAGATCACCAGCCCCTATGAACAACAGAAGACTGTCAAGGATCTCAACAAGTATGCCACGCTCAAGGCTGTGGGTAAGAAGTTGTTTACAGTGAGCCATAATGATGAAAAAGCACTTGCTGTTCATTTTATCTGATTAGGTAGCACATTACATCCACTATAAATAACACTAGCATAATTAATCAGGGTTTCCCTGGATCATATGAGCATCAAGGTTTAATTGAGCAAACCGGAAACAACTGAATCTGTAATCTGAGTAATCATGAGTAAGTTCATATTTTCTGCTACCTGCAGTTATTATTGAGCTTAATTTCCATCTCTCTCTGTTTTGTCTAGCATTAAAATGATGGAAGACAATGCACCATTGAGAGTTTTTCAATATTTTATTACACAAGATACAGCAAAAATCCTATTCACGCAACACATGCTGTTAGATATGTACTTCAAAACTGTATTTTTCTTTAAATAGGAACCTAGTTGGTTTGAATATCGTCAAATCTCTAGTTTACATAAATCCTTGTCAGTTAATCCATAGTTAATCAATACCAACAGAGAGCATAACTGAAAGTTTATTTATAGAAGCAAGTTTGTTGTTCTTCTCGTGTGCTAATTTTGAATGTATGCAGCCAGTGTCTGGACAAACAGTATTTGAAACAAGAAATAGTGGCAAGTACCAAAATGCTACCACTCAGCAATATGGCAAATAATTTTTGATGTCTTGGTGTCAAAGGATAAAAAAAAAATCAAAATAAATTCCTGAAAAATCTTAAAATCAAACTAAATGGATAATGTAGTAGATTATAAGAAAGTTACCCCTTTTATGTACGTGTGAGTATGAAGTGTTTGAGCTGATACTAAAATAATGAGAACAGGTGATGTTGTCAGTCTGTATGTTACAGTGGAGTGGAGCACACATAGTTAGGCACACTTCACAGGCACACTTCATATCCAAATAAAACTATCACTGGTAATGAATGGGTCATGTGTTCATGCATAACCAATAATCTTACTATTCAATTCTACACCATATGGAAATTTAACACCAGAAATCCAAAATTTAGAGGCTCCTTTGTAACATTAAATAAATGAAAAATAATAATTTATTATTTTACATTTGACTTGTCAAACAAACTTAAAAACAATCAGTGGTATTTTAAGTAACTGATATTCAACCACTTTTAATATTGATTTCTGTTGCAAAAACAATTATTACAGTATTTTAAATAACAAACAGTTTCATATAGAGAGGAGATAAATAAGGAATATTCAGAATCAAAGTGTAAAGTGAAGGCATTTGTGGATCTGTATTTGATGCTATTAAGCACTGTGAAACCTGAGTCTTTTTATTGATTCTGCCTGAAACAATTAGCTGTGTTTGACAGACCTGGCTATGGAAGGGCTATCAGCATGTGTGTAGTAGGTCCAATCACATAACAGAGCTCACTCTTCATGATTCACACAAGCAGCTGAAGCTTCTTCACTGCTACTGAAGTGCCGTCAAACAAACTGATCATTAGAGAAAAAAATAGAGCAAATCTTAGCTAATGAGACTGGGGACAGGAGACAATCAGGAGCAATCAAAACTCAAATGAGTTGGGGTGTAGTAATGTGATGCAACTATACTGTACATGGTAAGCCATGTGAGCTTCTGTGGTCCTAATATATATGTTCACTGATGTGTTTTCTTTTATTGAAATAGCTGCTGTAAAGAATATGCTGCTCATCTCCACATCTCTTTCTTGTAACATGAAGTGATATCTGGAGTACAGACATAGCCGGCTGCTGATGTAGAGACCATATTAAAGGTTATCTGGTAGACATTTCATTAAAAAAGTCTGAAATGCAAAACTCACAAAGCCTAATGCTGGAGCTTGGTTTGCTCAGGCTCAATTAGTACTTAAGTGAATACTGTTGTTATACATTGTCTACACCTGATAGGAGACATAAAATAACACAGAGGTCAACAATAATTTAATATGCTGGAATATCAACAATTATTATGTTGAGTTGGAGAATAATAATTAACCAACACAATATATTTGTAATCTTTTGATTTGCACGAATACAATTTTACGCAATGGCTGGCATAAAGTGATACATGTTAAATATAAATAAAACATTTTGTGTGACTGGACATTTACAGCATTTGTATCGGCTGATGTCTGACTCTCTTGTTTTTTTTGGTATTTTTTTGCTTTTATGCTTTAGCAACAAAATTTTACTTTATGTGTTTTTTTTGCTGCCTGTCTAGTTCTGCACTCAGGACACAATGCAATGGCTAATGAAGGGAAAACTATCATGTTGTTTACCTCTTATTTGTTAGCGGAGAAAGCTAATGACAGCTTCTATAGCAACCGGCGGCAAGTGATCGAGATGACAACCAAGGGCAGCCTTCCCATGGAAGTTGTGGATATGGAGCCAGAGCCAAGTAATCCTTATAGCCCACCCAGACAGCTGTCTGCAAAGCAGAATGGACACAAGTACAAAAGCCCCAAGAGCCACAGCTCCCAGACGCTGTCCTACGGCTCCAACACTGCTGCCAGCCCAGGAGTGCTAAGAACCTGGGATAGCAAGGACACACTTGGACTCCGACAGAGCTATGGCCCAAAGAAACTCTGTATCATAGAGAAGGAGCTGCACACCACTCGCTATATGCCTCCCCAACCATACTTTGTCACCAACAGCAAGACAGAAGTGACAGTATGAGGGACTGTCAAAAGATCAGGCTTAAAAGGAGTCTGAATTTAAGAAAGACAGTAGCTGCGGACTGTGGGTTGTAAAAGAAATCAGCATGAACTTCAGTATGTGCAGTTCATGCATGTAATAGGCAGCATTTAAGACACCATGCATCAAGTGGGCACAGTGATGAATATATTGTCATTGATATTCATATAATACAACTGATAAAACAAAACATAAAAGTTACATAACTCATGTATAACTGATGAGATATGTGACACATACAGTACTGTCATCAGTATTAAATGAGATATCAGTGCACCTTAAAATTAAAGTATATTGTATAATTTCTATTAAATCAACACTGTCTAAATGAGAAAACCTTCCTTATTTATCTGATCAAGGCTAAGTAGCCTGTGGTTAATTGGGTATTGATGAAATGCTTTACTGGACAATTTACAGATACTGTTTGAAAATGTTTGGCACTGCTACACTGCTACTTTAGGTGTTAGGTGATCAAGTACAGTGTCCCAGGATGATACATTTACTTACCTTCAAGCTATTGTTTATTTTAAATGAAAGATCTAGTACTTCTCAGTATATCACACACATTAATCAGGAAGGACGTTACAGTTAAATAAGCATAACAGATCACAGCGCATTGTTATACTTAAACTTGACCCTAAGATCTCAACAATCAACTAAATCCAAAACATTACTTGCATATGTATTGTGGTTCAAAGTCTTAAAAACATGAGCGACATCAGTTGGTCACAAACATTTTTGATGGCCATGACTATTACTGACTTAAGTAAGAACTGTATTCATTTAAGAAATAGACTTTGAGACATAAATGTTGTCTAAAAGTAGGTTTTTCAGGTTTGTTTCCAAAATGCTGTACATTCGTTTTGGAGAGATTCATAAGCTAAGTTTATCATTCAGTGTTTCTAAAATATAGAGGAATCACCAGTCTGTGAAAGTGTTACTGTTGACCTAAATAACTTAAAATCCATTAAAAAGTCCATTTAACTTTTGTGAATGTAGTGTCACTTTTTAAAGTGGTAGATGTCTCATTTTGAAGGAAACCTTCCAAATGCATTCAACCAAGTCACTGCCAACAGACATCCTACAGATACATATATTTCTATGATTACTAGGAGAAGTAGCTGCAGAGTGTTGAACCAGTGTTGTATTGGTGTAATAGTACCTCTCATCAGTACCAGCATGTGTGTGATTATCCTAGAATATACTGTAGATGAAGCCCCAGTATTAGAGGTGATTGGTCTAATCCATTATACCCCCAACAGAAGTCATTTCCAGTGTGAAGACGGTGGCTCAGAGTTTGCATCATAGTTAAAAATCTCAGCTGTTTTAACAATGAATTCCAAATCTTACATTTATTGAATGTATCCAGACTGACAGTTTGAAACCAGTGGTGAAGTAACAGTTGACGTTTCCAGTGTTGGAGGTGAATAGTTAATTAACTTTGTCAGGATGAATGTAAAAATGTTGTGAAGCACAGTCAAGTTTTTTTTGTCTGTTACTCATCAAATAAATGGGTCAGCTAAAGACATATAAACAGTTTTTGTCTGACTGACCCTAACAGCTTACATGACATTACTTTCCTACCTATTAAAAATATATCTTTGAATATTGGTCACCACTTCTTAACTCAGCTGAAGTACCAGATCAAGAACTTATTGAAAAAGGACATTAGAGCGCTGGAATTGATACCACACTTGGCAAAAAAATCTTTTCTGGTGCAATTGATCATTTGTTGCACTGATTTCCAAGCCAAGCAATATAAAAAGATGCTCACGTCTGCCTGCAAGTCTTACTCATATTGACTATTTCAAGCAGCTGAGGACTGGATACACAGGTGGGAAGTGGGAACTGCTAGTATATAAGGTGTATTTATGTATTCTCCAGTCCAAATCATAGCTATTTATATTCTTACAGACGTCCAATCAAACTGTATGCACAACCTTCCAAAATATGTATATCTAGTGCACCAAACTGTCCTGTTACATAATTAATCAACTGTTTTAGTGCTTCACCCTTATATGAAATCTGTTGTTCACACTCAACTATTAATTTAGCTGAGACCTTTATTTACGCAAACAATGTTGTATAGTGACTACCATTAAATGTTCTTGTTTTGTGAATGTAAATGGTGATTTCTTCCGCCCAAAGATACTGAAATCACTATTATTAAGCTACAGTGCACCAAATTTACACATGAAGATCTACTGTAATACTGACAGTTAAAACATAATGTGTATATTATCTGTTTGCTTTGCAACATCCAGTAGTGAGAACACAGTAGCAATGTTATATTTTGGTAAAGTTTAAAGAAAAGCCCCTATAATTACAGGTCTAATGCGGTCATTCACTATGATGGTTATCAATTATTTGTATAACTCTTTGCTCATTATCAGATTATGCATCTGATTTCCAAATTGCTCCAACTGTTGTTTTAAGTTTTTATGTACAATACAAAGTTACTTTGGTTCAAGATGCCCTATTAAATATATTTATCACCTCTGTATTTGATAGTTTGTTATCCTGGACAATTACTAAGCATTTAAATGTTTTCCATACATTGTTTGTGCAGTAAAATATAATCCCCACCCTGCCAGTGTTCTGCAAAAACCTCAAGTCTTTAAGATGCCTCTTTTGTTATATTGACTTATATGAAATTGCTGGTAAACCTGTGGCTCAGTTTCATTGTGGTATTTTAAAACTGTCAATGAGCTGTAGCACAATGATTTTGTTTACCTGCCAGTTGGAATGTTAAAAACTGTCTGCAAAGCTACTAGAGCTTTTAACATTTTATAATTGGTTTGTTCAATGGACTTACCTCTTTCTTTTTAACTAAAAAGAAAAACATTTGGCTTATGGTCAGGTCTAGTGTGCCAGCAGCAAAAAAATCAAAGGAGACACATATAACCATAAAAACAAAGAAACAAATGTCTACAGAGGTAAGTTGTCTTTGGTGCTCAATAAAACCTTTAGTTGTTTTTTCCTTTTTAAATTCTGATTCCCCCCAACACCACACCGGATCATATCGTAACATGGAAGAGCACTTGAGTGCAGCCAAATTACCTCTTTGTTTTAATCTACTACAGCTTATGGGACTTTCTGTTTCAGTGTGCTCCAGCTGTAAAACGTGACGTGTCATTATACTGTCTACATTAAAACTATTTTTAATACCTCTGTCTTCTTCAGACTTTCTTTAAGTCCTGGCTTTATTTTTTCTCTATAGTTCTGATTATATAACTGGACCTGATTGATACACTGCTTTTAATTCCTGTGAAACCATTTCTCAGTGGTATTTCATCAACTTGAAATTAGTTGTTGTAGATGCATATTTTTGCAAGAACAAATAAATAATAAATAATAATGCTTTCAAGCTGAAATTGCTTAATTCAATGCTCTGTATCAGGGATGAAGAAAAAACCACAACTTTGTATACAACAGCTGAACAAATTATTCAAGCCCTTTAACACAATAACAGGCTACAACCTCACATTTTACACTCATTCAGTCCAAGCACGGGGAGCTACGCCCACTGATTCCCTCATTGCAGCCTTACTACAGATGTATCACTGAAAGGCATTTCTTCAATGCATGCTTATCTGTCAAGGCCTGGATAAAGGAGCTGAGTTGATTCAGCCAAGTGCTAATGCCTCATGGAGATAGTCAAACACCATGGAGAGGCTGAGGTTTGTCTCTTGTGGATAGGTGAAGTGCATGATTAAATAAAAGCACAATAGCATTTGAATAGCACAATAGGGAAAGAGAACAAAGCAGAAAATTACAGGATTTTTTTTTTATCAGAAACAAACACTTTTCTTTGTTTATGTGTTTAGTAATATAGCTGTGCAATGGAATTCAAATTCAAGTTTTCTGAGGAAATGTGAAAGACTCCTGAAAATTACCCAAAAGAAATTACCTTTTACATCAGAAAAGCAGCACTTTACTCACATTTTAAAATTGGCACACAGTTACACATGCACACACAATTTCACAAACAATTCAATTCTTATTTTTGTAGTGATGCAGTAACCATTAACTCCACACATGTACCACCTGCAAAACAAAAGCACCAGAACCGTGGAGGGCAGGCAGCTCAGTTGTTCAGAACAATACAGCAACTGACTGAGGGCACATTTGGATCACTTTGCTACTTTTGCACTTGTTGGAGAATTCAATCCATTTTGAACTTGTTACTGCAGATTACTCCTGTTTACAGCCGTGCTTTCTATCAGAACTTAAGTTTTAACAAGCCTCTGGGAGCACTGTCATTTTCTTGAAAACGCCAGGAGACATTCTTGTTAATTAGCAAATGATGTTTCCTACAACCCGGGTGGTTCCCTCTGGAAATTAAATCAGCACAATAACCTAATTCAGTCAGACAGAGGGGCCACAACCATGTCCTGGTATGTGAAAAATGACATTAGAAAAGGTGCATGATTTTTTAAACATGAAATAATGCAGGATTATATCATAGGATTATATGAATGTACTAGAGCAAAAGTTTTAAGATAGTGGACAACTTCATGGCAGTCCATGTTGACTGTCATTTATCATTTCCTTAAGCTTCTACAAAATTCTCTTTTTTAACAACAATTATCTAAACTGAAAAGAAAAACAACAATCACTCACAGAAATACATTTGCCAGTAACCCCAGGATCCTGTTCCGCTCTACAATACAGTTGTGCACTCTAAAATCAGAGAGAGGACAGATGGACAGTGACAGACCTGCAGACAGACAAGCAGCGAAAGGATTGGCTTTCGCTCCCTGGTACCAATAAGGTTTATCCTAATTGTGGTGTACAGATGAACATTCAGCTTTATTTATTGAATATTCAGTATGTATACATTTGGCATCTTATAGCTTTACTAAGACAAACTGCAATCTATATACAATGTATCTACACTGAACAAAATTATAAACGCAACACTTTTGTTTTTGCCCCCATTCATTATGAGCTGAACTCAAAGATCTAAGACTTTCTCTAAGTACACAAAAGGCCTATTTCTCTCAAATATTGTTCACAAATCTGTCTGTGTTAGTGAGCACTTCTCCTTTGCCGAGATAATCCATCCACCACACATGCTGATCAGACAGCATGGGTATTGCACAGGTGTGCCTTAGGCTGGCCACAATAAAAGGCCACTTGAAAATGTGCAGTTCCATCACACTGCACAATGCCACAGATGTCGCAAGTTTTGAGTGAGCTAGTTGACAACAGAAATACTAGTCAGTTAAACTAACGCTGGTCAACGTTGGTTAATTGCAACTTTACGCCACTAGTCGGGGTTTCTGTCATCTATGTTTTGTCATTCACAAAGTTAATCCAGCCAGAGGTGGAAAAAATATAAAATAAAAACTCAAAAGGCATCATGTATCAGGTTATCCCACAACAGTCAAGCAGTCATGAGGGTGACCTCTCTCTTCATCTAATAACACAAAACAGCATCCTCATTTTCTTCCTAATTATTCACAACGTTGTCCTGCAGAAAGTTATTGTCCATATGTTGCCAGTTTCAGCAGCATCCCAACGTGTTAACTGACATGTAAATGCCGATAATGTAACAAACTGCCCCTGCGTCAAATGCGTGTAACAGGATATACTAAGTAACTTCTGAAGTATGGCTGTGTGTGTTTGTCTATTTAGAATAATGTCATGTCAAGTTTTGTGAAATGTTGTTGTGTTTTGTGAAATTTCTTTCATGTATACACTCAACAAAGAGGGATTACTTCAAGTGTTTTCTGTGACTGCAATAAAAACAGGAGTCAGAGAAGAACTGACGCTGCGCTGCCACTGGGCATTGGGAGCTACTGTTTTAGCACAGCAAATAATAGTTGATTTCCGGTTCTGTAACTTTAGCCAGAGCTAGTGAAAAACACTAGATAATAATAGATAGTTCTATGGAATTAATTCTCTGTATGTATTTGTTTGTTTGTCAAGTTCAGGTATTGGAATCGGTATAGGGAAGGAAAAATGGTATCGGAACATTTCAGCTTCATCTAACTGGAAAATTGCTGTTGCAGGGATAGTAGTTACAAGGTGTATCCTGGAAACAAAAGCCGAGTGCAGTCCTTATGTTCTTCAGTTGGATATAGCTGGTGGGTCTAGAAATATTAACACGTTACATTTTAATTCAGTATTTATCTGTGAGCCAAGGTTCAGTTTCCACAGCTTTATGATTCAGTGATTTGATATAATTTCTCTTCTTTCTCTCAGTCAGTATGAGATTAAGACAAAGAAAGAGGAGTGGAAGACTAATGTCTGTAACTATCAAAGTAATGAACAAATACACTAATCAAACACTGTTCTGCTGGTGTTTCCTTTCTAATGAAAGAAAAAAAGAGTAGCAATCTACAGAGAGCTATTATGTTCATTTTGAAAGAAGAGAAGACATCAATGGTCATAATTTCCACTGTACTGCAGTCAAGCTAGATGGTTAATAAGGGAGCAATTCCCTTTACATAAATAGATACCAGAAGGGCCAGAATAGGCTGTCAATGCTCCATATTAATCCATTCCCCAAGCCAGTGCAGAGTAACAGAGCCCAGATCATTGTGCAGCTACAAAAGCAAGTGAAGCAACTTGGAGCAAAATCTAAGAGTTTCTGAAAGGAGGCACATAGAGATTAGGAATGTGGAGCTCCTCAGAGAGATTACTCCACGGCCGACAAAGACAGTGAGAAGTCTTTTTCTCCTGCTTGAGGCAGAAAGAAAGGTCATGTTATTTTGGGATAGGGATTGTTTCCCGGGTTCAAGTGCTGTGATACTCTGAGGGGCAAATTCACAAAGAATGAATTGCGGCCGCTGATAGCACCTTGAATTGCGCACCATTTGCAACCACTATACATACTGTGTCAAAGTCCGATTAGTCAGTTTAGCGTCTGATAAATGTTCATCTGCAATTTTCTGGAATGGTCTCAGTAATATTTGTTCTTAAATGTATTTAAAGTAAACACATGATAATAATTTGAAACCAGTGGTAAAAATAATCTCTCTCTCTCTGTCTCTTCTATATAGAAGGCTGGCCCGTGTGGTCCGACCCAACAGACGAACTACTGTTAATGCTGGTTCTGATAAAAAGTTGTTAGAACACACAGTGCATCACAGTTTGTTGTGTGTGGGGCTGCATAACATTATGACCACCAGGGTGCTCAGGTGGTCATAATGTTATGGCTGATCAGTGTATATGAACTCCCTCACTCTTTCATTTGTTTCTAACTGTGTGATGCCTCTTGTTTTTCTATGACTCACTCTTCACGGAGTGTTTTTTCAGAATGATTGTTATTTGGGGTGCTTTCACTGCGCTCTCTCCCTCATGTCTCTGGGTACATGGGCATCTGTTTTCTCTCCAGTGCATAACCATTGTCTCTGTTTCTCACAGCGCTGCTACCATGATCACTGGAATGTCTGGGTGTGACACCCTTTTAAATGCACCTAAATTATCACCAACTCTCTAAAGACGCAAATAATCTTCACCGTGTGGCTGTAAGCCTTTATGTTTGTGAATTGAGGCTCTTTTGTATAGAAAGGAGCAAATTTTGTGCTAAATGTATGCATGTTACCTAATTTAAATAAGTGTATCGCTGTATTCCTTCAAATCAAGCTTTTTAGTTTAACCAACACTTCACTATTCCCTGCTCCATTTGTGAGGAGATCACGTAAATGGAAAGAAATAATAGAGGTCAACAGGGAATTCTCTGTTCCAAGTTCAAGGATAGTTTAAATAAAAACAGTGCTGCCTAGGAGGAATGTTTGCATGTTTTTGTTAAGGAAAGATGAGACTGGCTTAAGTGTCTAGGTGTAAATATTATTTTCAAATTTTATTAGAAGTCCAAACTAAACACTCTAAAGCACAACATTACCTCCAGCCCCATTGAAAGAACATTTCTTTCTATGCCTTTAGTAGTAACATTGCTCTTAAATCCTTAACAGCTAAGGAAAGAAGCAATTTTGCCAAGTGGGTCATGACTCTAAAGTTTTATTTGCCAAATCTCTTTTCCAATGTGGGTTCGGGCCCACCATCAGACTTGATTAACTTCAATTAAACTGTGTCAGTACATCTTGTTGGTAACATTTTAAGACAGTTTCCATCAGTAAGATCCTCAGAGGATACATGCAAGTACAAATCTTGCAAACATTGAAGACGAGAGTAAAAGTGGATTTTTTTTAAATTTGGAATTTCCCCATTGTGGGACAAATAAAGGAATATTTTATCTTATCTAATGTAAATGTGAACTGATTCCATAAAATACTCAACAGTTGAAGCCTAAAACTGAAAGATGATTCATTTACACAGGCACTGTGAAGAGCAGAGCTCCTAAGTTTGACCACAGTTAATCAAGAAATGTCATGAAAGGGGTGAGCGATGGCGTGCTGATGAAATGTTAAATCAGGCCTGGTTTAATAAAGCACAATGGTTTTCAAATACGTGTTGGGGAACCTTTTGGGTCACAAGAAAATTAAAGTGGATTTTAAATTATTCTGGAAATATCAGCTACAAAAATGATAAGGACTACAGTGTCCTCTTTTATTGCATAGGTAATACGATTTATTTTTACTTCTGCTACTCTATGCCCAGCACTATGTAAACTTTTGGTTTTATCATTAGTAAAAACAAGCAAACTCAAAGAGACCTGGATGAACCATCATGTATTGATTTAATCCCCCCGCATTCTCTTGTGAGTCTCTTCTTTCTATTCACTGAAAAATGGCAGTCATTCAAGTCACAGAGATGGTTTATAATTTTTTGGTCTCTTTGTCCTTTCAGACTGGCTGCACCTCTTTATCTCATTTCTTTCTTTCACATCCATTCCATAAGTGCCCTCTCACCTTTGCTTTGCTAGCCTCTCAGAAGCCCCTGGAGACCAAGTTTAGTCACAAAGTCACATCAGACATTGACCAGTTTATAGGAATTTTCTTAAGAAGACAATTCCAAAAAGGAACTGTATGACACCTGGCTTTAATGCATAATTTAAAAAGCATGTAGCATTTGAATTGTGTGAAAGTGTGATGAAAACACTGATACTCTGTGAAATTTTACAGTGATGAAATCATATTCTACTTACTACAGATTCTAGTTCCTAAAACTCATTCATTAAGATAGTCTCTTGGGTTAAAAGTACTTTTTTCCCCAGTGCAGCTCCATGATAGTTTTGGGGACACCCCTGAGTAATTGAATGCAGAAATTGGCTGCATCATAAGGTTAATACTGTGAACTGAGATTCTTGCTATTGAAAACATTTCTATCACTCATCACCATCAATAATGTTACATCTCTTTCTACCAATATGACAGAAAAAAATGTCCCTACACTGTTCATTAACATTAACTCACAGACAAAAGCCAGTTAAAATAAAACATTCTCACTCAGGAGGGCTACAAAACTGTGAAGATTACTGTCCAAATAAAACCAGTTGGAAGGAAGCAGCCATATATCTGTCTAGAGGAATAACATCACAATTGCCAGTATTCAAATGGCGGAAACAAGACCCCTGTTGTCAGCCAAAATGAGCTCTTCTACAGTGAAACTACTGTTGGACTAGTAAATAATTCATTTATCTATAGTCTATAGCGAATTCTGATTGGGGAGCGATCTGCTCTGAAGAAAAGTAAATCTGAAAAAAATAAAATAAAAAAATGAGAGTGTGTTGTTAGTAGACTTATGAGGCCCAACAATGTGAGCATCCTCATTCAGTTTTTGAAATTTTTGCTCACAAGGAATCTTAAAACTGTCTTTATTTGAGGAGCTGTAGTAGATATTTTTTAATACAGATCCATGGGAAAGAAATGCGTTCCTTTGTTCAGCTGCTGAATCACAATGGCCTGTGGTGTGGTGTGTGAAGTCTCTTCATGGGCCATAAGAAAAGTTCATCACCAAACAAGGACTCTAGGACTTTACAATAAAACCTTGTCAAAGTGAGATCTGTGAACTACAATCCCTGTCTAAGAAAAGGAACTATCAAAATATTCCCCTCCTCCCACAGGCACAGTGTTATTTCCTATTATTGACCTACACTACTATCCACATTTATTCACTCTACTACCCTAAATGTGGAGCAGGAGCTCTGGGCTACAGATTGATAACACTCTTTTCACCATTTTCATCACCTTGCAGTGACACACATTTTTACCTGCTTATCTATGATGAACTTGAAACAAATGGGTCATTTTAGAATAAAGGATTTTGAGGAATTGGGATAGCTTTTAATATGTAACATAAACTGCAGCAAGAACTAAATAATTTGTATGATATGTATCTGCCAACGCCCTGTGCTTTATACAGATTCACATATATTCACATAAATGATACCTCTGAAGACATAAAAGATGAACAACAACTGTCATTGAGCTACTGATAAAAAACAGAAAAAGCTGCTCAATCATATGACATTTTTAGATGGTTGATTGAAAAGTGCGTTGTGCTGGCCGTTGCCCTGAATAGTCAGTGTCCTTCTCTATCACAAGAACAGTTCACTGTTCAGGGTGGATGAAATGGATAGGGGGCAGAACTGACCCAGATAAAGTTAGGCAGGAAACTAACATGGAGTAAAACAATCTACTATATGTCCTGATTTTTCAAATTCATCTTCTTTCATGACTGAAGAAATGTAGTATTAATGACATACTGTTCAAGAAACAATGCACAAAATGACCAGCCACTACTATCTGCATATAGAGCTCAAGATCAAATCATTTGCAAGTGGAAATTCAAAGCCTGTCACCATTGAGGTAACTAAGAACTGTATAGAAGAAGGTGTCAATAGTATGTCATGAGGAGAACATGCTGGCTAACATGCTTAGTATAGCCCAGCCTTGTTTAAAAAACAAACAAAAAACATGGAATTTCCACAAGGAGTGGGGAAAATACTATCTTAGCTTGTATCGCCAAAGAGAGGCAACTTGACAGAGCTTTTCAGAACCATGCTTAAATCCCATAAGAGCGACGGCCCAGCCCAGAGTGAACTATGTAAACAAAGTTAGAAGAGAAGTAAAATCTCAGCTAGTTTCAGAATTGTCAATTTATGTAGCAGATGAATAAAAAGACAATTGAGACATGGAGGTGTTTATCAAGGCTGCCTCCTCACTGTTTTAAGATTGCAAGAAATAGACTGAAATCATGGCAGCTGTCAACTCAGTTATCCAGAAAACATGTGGCACAAAAATCCAAAGTAATATCAGTACATCTTGAGGATAAACTGAAGGACATGTGTTTTCCTTTCTCCAGTTGATGAGTCCACTGATACGGTTCCATTAGAAACATCCATTAGGCGTATGAGGACATAAGTACAAAGAGACACAGCTGACATTTTTCCCCCATTGAAAGGTCACACAAGTGATAATAATATTTATCAAGGATGTTTTGAAGTGTGTCACAAAAAAGCTTGCGTTCAACTCTGACAAGCAGTCTTAAAAGGTGGTTCATTCTCATTTGGAGAACTGATGTGGAGCACACGAACATGCTGTTCCATGTGTGCAACAACCAAGTAAAGGACAAGTTTTGTTGTGATTTATAGAGTTAAGTTTCCTGATATCAATGAGTTCTTCAAGATTTCTAAACATACAAAATATGCATAGCTCGAAGACAAACAGTGGTCAGCTGAGTTTCCACTCACTGTGACTGCTGTCAACTAAGCTGCAACACCAGGATTTGTTCTACTTTCAAACCATGCACTCAAAATGTCAGCATCATTGCAAAGAAACACAGGAGCTTGACACCTCACATGGCACAACGCAAATGTATAAATGTCATCAGACTTTGACAGAAGCTTTACCGACTTTGCCTCAGCTGAGCCTGTTGCTATGTATAAATGTGCTTCCTATTTTGCCCAGATATATGAAGATGTGGATGACACTGCCTCCAAAATTGGATCACTCTTTCACCTGGACACAGCTGCACAAGAAAATGAAATACCCCCCCCTCAAAATGGCATTCAGATGAAATGCAAGGCATCTGAAAGGAAGGGTGAGTTATACACACAGTACTATTAAAAAGAAAATCTCAACATAAGAATGTAGCCATGTGCTTGTCAGCCCTTTTTGGCTCAACCTACCTATGTGGGTTTGCATGTTCTCACATGAAGATTAAAAAAAAGGAATTAAAAAATACAGGTTAAGTGCAGTGTAAGTGTCCTTCAATTGAAATGTTTGCTTGCAGGCTAAAGCCATGTGACTGAAATAAATGATAGACCTAAAAGAGGCTGGGGATTTTCTCCTGGGATTCATCAGCTGCTTATCTTTCTTCCCTTGAATTGGATCCAGGTCTCCATGATTCAAAGCATGGCAGCTAATTCAGACAGACTTGTGTGTTGTGACTGGTGTGTGAGTGCATGAAGTGTCTTTCACCTTTCTCCTCCCAGAAGAAGCAGCTGGTATTGTCTGGATGTGTTCAAGGTTATTCAGCCAAGTCAAAAGTTTCATCCATGTTAGTGAATCTGCTGGGCATACCTTCACAAGACCAGAGGATGAGAAGAAAAAAATTAAAGTGTTCCTATTGAGGTTTAATGAAGTTAAATAGGGAAAACAGACACAAAATAAAATCTTTAAATAAGGGTAGTGATTAAGACCTCAGAAAATATCCATAACTCTCTTTTATTAAATAATTATAAAAAAATTCTTAAGTCCTCATTTATCCCTCTCGGATGCAAGCTTCTAAGATTATACATCAAGAAAGCCTCTTTCCCTTCTTATAATGTTAGGAAACAGGAACAATTTATAGCCAAAATTATTTATTTTAGTCTTAAAAGACATAATCCCTGATACAGGTTAGCATCATGTTTAAACACAATTTTTTAAAATTGTTAATTATATATTCATGTTTGAATTTTATGGACCAAACAGGATTTGGCAGCAGTGGTGGCTCACACATCCAACTGGCAAAATCAAACAGCTTAATTGGGTCATCAGCTGCAGTGATTTGCTCTGGTCACAATGATCACAATCAATTAAGAAACAGTGGCTGAGTTCTTTCCAGATGTCGAGACAAAGCCGATGGATTCTTTCTCCTCCTCCAAAGCAGCGAGTTGACTGTGAGCTACGAGCGTTATTAATAGCCACTGCAGGGGTGTCGAGGGTCTTTGGCTGTCAAAGGGGTTGAGGTAGCACCAGGGTTCAGAGCAGCGCTGAACCACCATCTCCTCGATGGGTGAAAGGCTACTGAACAACTCTGTTTTAAAGCTGTCTTTCTTGAACAAGACACATTTTCCTTTGTTCAGTTTTAAATTACTGTGAGGGGATAACAGTCTAACAACTGCCAGTGGATGACAGTGGCGAGCCTGCTGTCATTCAATATAAACTAACATTGGTGTATGTGTGACAATAAGATGTTCAAATTTAACCTGCTTTTACCTTAGATTTTACCTTGCTTGGTTGGGGAGGCAGGATAGTTCTCACTTTAAGCCTATAGGGACAAAGAAAACAATTTAGTACAATTAAGGCTCTCTACTTAGTTAATAGCAGAGAATAAGAAAAGACCTCCATCCTTTAACCATTCTTAGTGAGATGTGTGGGCCCTATTAAAGCAACAGAGCACAGAAAAGAAAGTAATTCCTTTGGCTGTCTCCTGTGGCTGTATGCACCACTATGCACCATGTCATGTGCAACAGATGAGACCAATCGGAGGGTCCAACATTATGCATATCCAGAGGCCTGCTGCACCTGCACAGGAGGAGTAAGCCGCTGCTTTATGGTTTTGTCGATTATAGTCCATCCTGAGGTTCAGTTTACTGCATTCAGCTGCTGGCTTTTATGTACTTATCTGAGGTTCACTTAGGATTGTACTGTGGTGTTTGGCTGTCTTTCCTTTACAAAAATACAGCAGATAATACCTCAATACATCTTTTTAGCAATGTATTATCTAACCGTGTTTTATGTCGGACAAGGTAACTGGAAGAGTGATACGGTGTCAAAGAAGAATCAGCTCTGACCGTAAATTGTGTACAAATACTTGGATAGCAGCCTAAACAAAGACTCAAGACAAATAAAAAAGATAACAATGTCTGAGTCATAATCCTACTTTTAATAGGTCTTTAATTCAGGAATTCTTCAAAGGATTTCTGTGCAATCTGTGAAGCAAGACATTGGCTTCGTAATATTTTTACAATAAAAAAAATGTACCCAGAAGAATACCAAATACAGTGTGTGGGATTGACAGAAAATAATTGGACATGTCCATACGAAATAAAGAAAGTCAGTTAAACAGACCTAGTAAGACAGCAACTGAATTAATCAAGGGATCAATCAGGTGTAGTTCATGTTTTAATGGATCCTAAAAGTCTGTACTGAGCTTCCTTGCCAATGCAAGTCAAGACTTCCCTGGCATTTATTTGCAGAGCAGTAGATTGAAGGAAGTGAAGTTATGATGGGTTTCAACACTGATCAGCATGCGTTCATCCAATTTTCGATCGACATCATGCCTTTCAGGCCTGTTCTCCACTGCTGAGGAAGCACAAAATTTATCCAGATTTATTTGAGAAAATTATCTTCCAGAAGCAAGGCACAGCCCAGTCAAGCATTTACAGCCACAGCAGCAGGCTCTACCACTCACTATGAAGACTCTTCTCCTCCACTCAGGAAGCCCACAGCAACTGACAAACCTGGAAACCTTTGTGTCTGATTGAGTGCTGGGAAGCCAATTAGAGGTGTTTGTCAGTGGAGGAACACTCACTATAGCCACCATTTGGTATGGCAATTCTGTGACTGAAACAGCATTAAAAACTGCAATTTTTTTATTTCCTTGTTTATAAAATGACAAAACAAAACAAAAAAGGCAAACTTGCTTTCAATTGTAGAATATATATATATATATGTTGTTGATATATGTGGTCTATATGCCTTGCCAAAAAACCCATCAAGAAACAGAGAGCAACAACTCTAATGGCTCTAGTGACCGACAATACTAAACACATTGTGATCTATGTTTAAAATTATCTGCTTATCACTCCTGGTCATACTCTGTTTAGCAAGAAACAAACAGTTTCCTTTAGAAGGTTAAGAGAGCCCTTTAGAGACAAAGACCAAGCTGCTGGGGCTAGATGTGACAACAGACCAGCAGTGCTCTCTACTGGCAAGAGAAATAAAAATAAAAATTCATCAGACTCCTCAATTTCCTCAGTACAGTTTTCTTTAGGATCAGTGAAATGGAGATTGGTTGGTTGGTAGGCCATATGCATACTGACAAAGGTTTCAGTGAGTACACATTGGTCTTTTCACATGCCATTAAAAATAAACATGATGTGTATTTCTTTTTGGTATGTGACATACTTGAGAATTACTATGTGTATTGTCCATATTTGTGCCACATGTATTATTCATTATAAATCTGTTCAATGAAATGGGTTAGGGTTAGGTTTTACACATTCAAAGATATTGATTTTATATTTATACAAAATTAAATTCAGGCATTCATCTCAATTCATCTGTATTGGACTATTACTTAAATACAAATAACTATTATTACTCCCATGTTAACAACTACAGATACAAATACAAATAACTATTATTACTCCTATGTTTCCAACACTGTTAAGGAGGTAAAGTTGTGCTGTCTATCACGTAGCCTGCCTGCCTGCCTGCCTGCCTGCCTGCCTGATGACATTTTGCCTACTTATTCACTGTAGCTTAGGACCAGATTTGAATGACAGACATTGCAAACTTAGAGGATATCTTCAGCACGATAGTTAGCAAATCAATCAGTGAAATTCATGTGCAAGCACAACATTGTTATCTGGATTTGGTTGTCCTTTAGAGCATGACCAGTTCATGGTTGTCTAAAAGAACCCAGATACCAAGAAAAAGAGCAAACAGAAAGTTAGTCATTACAATCATAGATGTGATTAGGAAATGGACCTCTGGAACTGACCTAATCCTGAACTGCCAAAAAAGTGAATCAAACAGAAATTATACTGACATTATAGTTTTTATGTTTTAAGTTGTAATTGTGTAGACAGGTGCTCACAGTTGATTTTATTCAAATATAAGGACGTGTGACAAGGGGGTTGGTTAAATTGATATTTAATATGAGCTATATACTTCCAAGTTTGAGTTAAGAATTGAAATACAATTTTGCCTCTCTTATCAAATGCTCCTTTCTTAAAAAGGTCAAGTATGAGCAAAAATAAAAAAAATCCTAAAGGGTCTAGTGCACTGGGTTCATCTTATCTCTGTACCACTGTATATCAGTTAAGATCTACTGCAAATGCACTCAGTGACAGGACCCTGAGTTTAGTACACACCAAAGGCCACTTACACTGAATCCCTTAATAGGTTAGCAATGCAGTGTGTGTGTGAGATATGTAAAGAATAACTGAGGTATATGTACATATAAATCTTAGAACTTACAACAGTTAATTACAGATAACGCCTTATCAAAGCAATGGAAAGCATATTCTAATTTTACAGACTTAATAACATAATAATAATTGGGGACATTCGATTATTGCAGTGAAATGATCAAGAATGATGTTGATGTAAAACAAAATATAAAACTAAGAAAAAAACACGAGGTCAGTTATTAGCAACATTCAGCACAAGTGGACATGAATGTGTTAATATACACTTTAAGCGCACCTGACTTAAAAAAAAAAAAAAAAAAAAAAAAAGGTTCGGGGGCTTGTCAGACTTCATTCCACATACAAACATTTGCACAAGGTTCAGTCATTCAGTATTTCACAGCCTGTCCACCTTAAATCAAGAGCTCCGAGATTTAAGGTAAGCAATAGAATTTAGACCTTAAAGCATCAAAACATGTAATGTTGAAAATTTCTGAAAATAATTACAGTTGCAAAATTGCATTCTGTATTCTGCAGTATTTAAATTTTGATGTAAATATTCTATCCACAGCTGGTATGCAAACCATTGTGCTGTTGGTGTTGTGGGTACTGGGAACATCGCTGGTGTTGCCAGACCCCGACACAGCTGGGGAGAAAGTGGTCGAAGAGCCTATTCCATGTTCTAAGGGATGCAACTGTCTTCATGATGACTACACCTTGGAGCTCAACATGTACTGCAGTGTTCGAAACTTCACACAAGTCCCACCTGACATACCCCCATCCACTCATTCTATCTGGCTGGATGGCAACTTGTTCACCTCACTCCCAGCAGGGTCTTTTAAGGATCTTAGTAACCTGGACTTTTTGAATCTAGAGAATGGCAAGCTGATGACACTCGACCCTCAGGCTTTCAAAGGACTTAGGTTGCTAGCCCACATTCACCTTGAACGAAATCGCCTCCGGGTGATACCAGCTACAATCTTCCAGAATACACCTAACCTTGCTTCACTTAGTCTGTACAACAACCAGCTGGCTCGTATTGAGGAAAGACTGTTTGCAGGACTCTCACACATGTGGCTTCTCAACCTAGGGAGGAATTCAATTGCAGTTTTGCCTGAGACAGCTTTCCAAGACCTGCAAGGTCTACGGGAGCTTGTTCTCGCAGGAAATAGACTTGCTTACTTGCAGCCACAGCTTTTCCAAAATCTTGTTGAGCTTAAAGAGTTGGATCTAACTGGAAATTACCTCAAGGTTATCAAAGCTAATGTGTTTGTTAAACTCACTAAACTACAAAAGCTTTACCTGGCCCAAAATCAGATTGTGACAGTGGTACCCAGAGCCTTTGTGGGGATGAAGTCGCTAAGATGGCTGGATCTCACAAACAACAGACTGACTTCTCTCCATGACGACACTTTCTTGACCCTACACAATCTTCACGTACTGCGTCTTTCCAACAACTCTATCACTGGAATTAGGGCCAGGACTTTCCGTGATCTGCAGTACTTAGAAGAGCTACGACTCAGCTACAACAGGATCCGAGCCCTTGGGGAAAGGATCTTTGAAGGGCTTGGTCATCTGGAGGTCCTAGAGCTAGAGCACAACCAAGTGCAGGAGGCACAAGTGGGTAGTTTCACAGGGCTCTCTCATGTGGCTGTCATCAACCTGTCTGGAAGCTGCTTCCACAGTCTGCCCGACCAAGTATTCAAAGGTCTGTCAAAGCTTCACAGCCTACATCTGGATAGAGGTTGCCTAACAAGGATCACAACTCAAGCTTTCAATGGACTCTCTGGTCTACGAAGGCTTTTCTTGCAGCACAACAACATCTCTGTGGTGGAACGCAATAGTTTTGTGGACCTGGTGGGCCTACTGGGACTGGACTTGAGTTTCAACAAGTTGGAGGTTCTCACAAGCCATACATTCTCTGGCCTCAAGAATGTGGAGTACTTGCTGTTGTCCAACAATGAGTGTCGACAATTTTTGCAGAATGGCACAAAACAGTTACTCCCAAAGCTCCGTTATCTGGACCTCAGAGCTAATGCCTTGACAAGCATGGTCCCCGATTTCCCAGAGAGTATGGAAAAACTTTTGCTCTCTGGCAACAGGTGGAAATGTGATTGCAGTGCCCTCCCACTCAGAAACTACAGCTTGAGGAATCCGTTGGTGATACCTCGGCAAGTGGAGACCCATGCAGAGGGTGAAGAACCTGACACAACTATCACCATATACAACAACATTACATGCACCAGCCCACCACGTCTAGCTGGTCAGGACCTGCGGGATATTGACAGTGAACACTTTCAAAGCTGCTAGACAAACCCTCACAGGGGTTTTTAAGGCATTGGTTGGTGGCAAGAAAATATTTCTGATGTTACCCATAATATTTTCAACAATGTAAACTCATTCAGTTTTCTGATTTTGTGATTTTAACTGTAATACTAATGCATGATTCAGGTTCTTGTTACAAATTTACTATTTACACATAAATGTACATATAATATTTTTAAAAACAGCTCTGCTATAATTGAAAAGACCAACCAACCAATATTTCTGTTGCTTCAACTTTATGGAGTTATATCTTATTATCGACTAATAATTAATTGTGGAAATAATCTAATTGTGGAAAATTGCAATAAAGTTGGCAAACCGTCACCTTTTGGCAAAAAAGGGAGAATATGACGGCATGTTCCTCAATCCACCACAAATGCTTTCAGATAATTAAGTTTATATTGACAATAGAGAGTAAGATGGATCAGAGTTTTAGCACTTTGGATTTGGACATGTTTGGACATTCCAGGAGATAAAAAAAAAAGAAGTTAACTCGTAATGCATTTAGATGAAAGTATATTAAAATATTTTAAAGTTTAATGTTCATCAATAAACCACTTGGACCTCCCTTCATGCCCATGAACACATAAAGTATCAAATTAACACAAGTGTGATAGCATTTTTACTGATGTGGTCATGAGCATTTTGGGACAATAAAAATGGGAAACTGCCACAAACTGTTGAAAAACCATTAAGAAAAATGGAAACAGATGATTTTTTGAGAACCACATAAACCTTATGCAAAACAAAGAGCAACAAAACTGGCATCTTACAAAATGAAAAAGTGATTAAGCTGTAAGTCACAATTTGATCATTCATGTGGCTGGCTGAACAAACGTTTCTCAAAAGGCAGGAGGCAGAAGGAAATATCTGCACAGCTCGGAAATGTATTCAAGTATGTTGTTATGTGTGTATATGGTTTAGAAAATATCCATGTTTGTTACTTTAAAAAATACAATGTTGCCTTAAAAGCGCAATAAACATTTTTAAATCTGTGTGCCTGTGTTCCATGTACCCACAAAATTACCTTTCCACATCCAGCTCAGATAAATCCACAGCTGTACACCACTTCCTTACCCAGCAGCACCTCAAAGTTCCACAGAAACAAAATACACAACAAATACAAAACCTTTCAGTCAAACAGTTTGCTCCATAAGGTCGACGCAGCACCTGCAAGATGTAGGTTGAATAACATCATTTTAGCACAGCTATCCAAGCTAGCTTACCTAGCTTACCTGTCCTTTCTTCATTTAGTTCATGTTCATAGAATGATTTACTGATGTCTGTGCACCAGTTAGGTTATATTTGTGCAAACTTACGTTACTTAGTTTAACGTACCGTACCTTGAACATGTCTCTGTCTCTCACACACTCATAAACAGTCTGAGCAGAAGGCCTGTAGAGTAATCCTCTGTTCAGGTGCAAAACACTTTTTTCGCTTCCTGACAGTACCTGAAGGCAACATTGTTGACGAAGCACACGTGCTGCACGGAGAAGCTTTCCGTTGCCAATGGTAACTAAAGAGCCTAACAAAATGTCAGTGACCTCCGGCACATAAACGGTAACGTTACATAAAAACTACTTTATTACATTTGCAGGTCTGTTCCTGTCTGCTAGTAATGGACCCGAATCATTCATCGTGTTGGGAATCAATTCTGGAGAAAGTTAAACCACATATACCAACCATCGACTTCGATTCTTCATCCGTATGTTTTTGTTCTTCCTAGAAATGTGCTAACGTCTGCTAACTGCCAAAACTTGTATTTTATATTACATTAACGTTACATAAGTTAACTTTATTTACAAATTCAAATAATGAGTCCTCTTAACATTACAGTCCGACAATGAAGATATTATTCACATATATCAAAGACCAGCTGGTCTTTCCTTGAAGGTCCTTGAAGACTTCGACAGTTTTTCGTTGGATGATGATGAACTAGAGGTTAGTTAATTATAGTCTCATGAGTGTTAATGGTAGCAATGTAAGGACCTCCTAACAAACCAGATTGGTAATCACTGATATGTATGTGTGTTTCTGTGTCAGCAGCTGTTGGAACCTGTAGCACAGACATGCTGGTCAGACGAACCCTGCAGCCAGAATGTGAAGGTGGATGAGGATGAAGTTGTAGTCACTACTGCAACTCAGTGCTTTATGCTACACTCTGATGCCAATGTTGAGGTGGGTTACTGTATATTAATCTACAGCCTCTGGTCTGGGGAGAGGAAAGCACACCAGTGTATCATGACATACACTAAATATGCACCCTGTCCTTTCTTTTCCTCTCCTGTTTCCTTAAAGGCAGATGCTTGTGAGCTGGACGCTTCTGTAAAACCAAATGTGGACAACACAAAAGCTGATGAGGGTTGTCCTGTTCTTTCATTTGCTGTAAGTTTTGGAAATTAAAAGAAGTTAGGCGTGGTCGTCACCAGTTACGACTGATGCAGGTAAATATTCTCTAAGTGTTATAACCTCTTATCAAAAACACTGGTTTCAGAGACTTGACGAGTGGGATTTGGGTGATGTCCTCCAAAATCTGAAAGAGGATGGGTTGTCTCTGCTGCAGCAAGGTGTGTCAGTTGAACCTGAAACAACAAATGCAGGCAAGTAATTATAACACACACACCACTGTAGCTATAGTGAATGATTTAGGGTTATTTATCGGGGGGTTATGTATTTAATAATTTACATTATTAATTCATACTTTCAACACATTTTTGTATATAGATGGTGACAAGAACAGGGCCCAGCGGGATATAATGGAAAGGCTAGTTGCTTTCACTAAAAGCCAGTCATCTAAGTCTGTGTCAGAGCCTGTGAAAAGTTCAAATCATGTCAGGTAAGTCATAACACTGATGAGGTTTTATGACCAAATTTTTTAAGATAATAATAATAATCACCTTTTTCATGCAGACAGAGTAATGTGTGGAACAAGTCAGGCAGGATGGCAGCAGAGTTGCAGCCAAGCCACCAGGAATGTCCCACTGTTTATATTGACCTGCGTTGCCCTGAGCCTTCAATAAAAACACCAATAACATCCCCAAATCTTTCATCAACGTCCGAGTCACCAGCCAAACACAACAGACACCAGGAAACACCACCTTCAAAGAAACCCAGTCTTAAAGTGCATAGTGGATCACGGATGGGGGACAGGTACAGTAAATATATACTGCATTAGAAACATTTGTCATGCTTCAGTCCAGCACAGTATGTTGCAGTTCATATTGCCATTTCTCTGCTTCCAGGGAAGTGACTGGCAAGAGCATGTTGCTTCAGAAAATAAGGGAGATGAATAGAAATGGGAGTAAATATCCCAATAAATATACAGATCATCCATGTCCTGTGCTTGGGAATAAAACAGAAGAACAGAAAGCAAAGCTACCCAGGACTGTAGAGTCTACATGTTGCCATGAGTCACACCATCTGTGTGAAGATAAACAGTCTTCACATGTACAATTTGAGTACAGAAACCCTAAAATGGAAAGTCCACCAACAACTCAGCAAAGTACAATGAAAAAACCAAAGCAGCAGAGGTATGTTTTTTTTTTTTTACTCACCCAGCACATTAGTGAAAATAAACACATATTTTAACCATTACAATGCTTTTGTCAGTGACCAACAGAGACAGGAAGTTAAGCAGATGTTACAACATGAACAACACCAGCAAATTCTTAAGCAACTGGACATACACTGTCCAACCAAATCAGTCAATCAGAAGCAGCCAGCTGCTGAAAGAACCGATGTCCTTTATGATTTTGTAAGTGCCTCAAAAGTCATAATTACAGTACTTAAAAAATGGCCTGCACTTATAATGATATGTTTTTCAGGAAGCATCTCATCTAGAGTCCATCAGCACACTACCAGTGGATATTGAAAGCAAGGGGTGTATGCTACTGATCATCAACCTCTCCAGTCCTGGTATGGTCGGAGACAGAGCTTATGGGAGGAAAAAACATCTGTATCCAGCTGCAACCCAATCACACATCTACAACACTTTAGTGGCTTGGTTTCTGTCTTTGGTTAGTGAGCAGTGCTGTTTCTCTCCTAATGTGTACCAACCAAAGCTCAGTTCATGCTTCATCATATAAAGGTCACTTGTTACTGTGTATTAGGTCGGCCCAAACCCACATCCCGATGAAGATGAAGTTGGTGCAAAGGTCCCATACTGGGTTGCAGGACTTCAGCAGCTGTGGACAGAGGATGGACTGGCTTTACATGTGCTAGCCAGGGCTCGTCACTGTTATACACCGACGGTGAATAGACAAAAAGAAAACACTCTATAGGCTTTACAATGTCTGATAATTTGAGCACTGATGCTTTCTTTTTGTTTGTTTTGTAGAAAAGGGACAAAGACATCCATGCACCTTTCTATTACAATGTCAGCAGATTCCTCTCTGAGACCTCACTCACTCTTATTGCCCGCTGGCTACCTCAGCTCAAAAATTTGCTAGACCAACGAGCCTTTACCTCACCCATCCATCTTCCCTCTTCCTGTTTAAGTTGTTTCATCTCTGCCACCTCCAACAAAAAGGTGTCTTGCTTCAGAAGTGTGATTCAATATATTTTCAAGCACTAAGATGATTTTGCATTCTGTTGACTGTATTCTGTTCCCTTGGCTTTGTATTTCAGGTTATAGATAGGACGTTTGGTCTCAGTCCAGGGTTTTACTGGCAGACTGTGGAAACTCAGGAGCGTGTTTGTAAGGGGAGAGAGACCACACTAGATCTGCACACAGAGGTCAGCACATTGTCTTTCAAAAGTGTACTTACTAGTACTTGTAGTAGTGGTTATTCTTTTTTAACAGCTGTCTTAGCAGTAAATATGGAGTAACTGAATATATGTTAACTTTCCTCTCATTTTTGTTGTAGGTATCAGTTGCTCTGGGGTGCAAAGCTTTCTTCCTACAGCCCCTCATAACACACTACACCCTCCAGCTTGTTCTTGAGTCAGGACTTGATGTGTGTGGTTTGCGGCTCCTGTATCCACCAAATGGGTTCCTGAGTGACGGTGCTGGTAAGACATAACTAAAGCTATCTGGTCATAAATGAATAACTCTCCTTCTGGCTCATTGGTCTGGTGTGCACCATGGATCCAACTGTGGCCTTTGAATGTGTCTTCCTTGAATAAAAACTCTCTCTCTGATTCATAGGTGCTGTACCAGTCATCCAGAGAACTGATGAGACCTGCCAGCCCGTTCTTGCCCTGGCTGTTCGGGGCCCTCATGCTCACTCAGTTTTGAAAGATTTAACTATTTCCTTAGATCCTCTGCTGCCCAGAATAACAGATCTAACCTCCCTCAACACTCTCCACTGCAGAAGTCAAGAACCTTCACTCTTCTACTCCTCTAGACTGGCCAGTGAAGTCCACAGGGAGCTGTGCTTGTGGTTTTCAGGAAGATTCCAAGGAGGACGTCCACAGAATCAGAACTGGCCTCTGAATAGGTTTGTCAGAATTCCAAATTGAACAACATGATTCAACAAAATTATGTTTTTTCCTTTGAAAACGCTTTTCTTTAAAGTTATTTCTGAATTTATCATTTTTTTACCAAATGTGAGATGGATTTGAAAAAATAAAGGAGGAATGTCCTAATTTGGATAAATTGCATTGCAGTTTTTCAAAAATATTGCAACTGCAAATCTAAATGTTCACGTTCAAAGAAAAGAAGAAGGAAGAATTGAAAAAAAAACTTTTAATGTCAGGCATCAGAGGCTTTACTAAAGCGTAGTCTCTTTATTACTGTGTGTAGAGTTTCACCTTCGGAGGACGGAGTAAGAGGCAGCCTGTTCAATTTAAGCACATCACCTTCCTTTCTGTGTGCTACAACAAAAGGTACTGTGACTCAACAAGGAGCCAAAACTGTCACAGGAGAGAAAACTGGCTTATGTCCACATTTCATTTTCAGCTTTCATCTTTACTGCCCTGAGGGAAATTTCTTTTGCAGCAAGGATCAAAGATTTTTGCTTGAGTGGAGCTGTTAATCCTTCTTTTCCCTACATAGCTGACTTACTCCTCGTGGTGTCGCCTGTCGTGCCACCATGTTGCTATGGCCAAGTTCTGGCTGTTTGTGAACGCAGGGGCTTCAGTCTGACGGGGCTGCAGAGGCTGCAGCTTCAGAGCAATGGAGCTGCAGTCCTTGGACTCACCAACCAGCAGGTAGAACAACGGGATACTCATTCAGAGTTCAGACTTTCAGAAGTAGAGTAATAGCAATAATTAGTAATAATTAATTCTTTATATTGTATACTTTTTGCTTTGTAGGGAATTAAAAGGAATTAAAATTATAATTTACTGGAGATAGAAAGAAAATAGATTAGATTTTTGTTCTTAGACCATGGAATTGGTGCTGAAGTCCAGGATGATGAGTTTTATGTAATAATGTGACATTTTGCTGTAATTGTTATCTTGATAATTTTTTGTAATTAATGGATTTGTAACTGTGGGTTTGGGTCTAGAGAATCACACATTTCTCCTTGTACTTCCGTATTTTTCATCGCAGTTTTAAAATCTGTATCTTTGTTTTCTCAAGGCACTTGCATTCTGCAGTCCACATATTGGGACCCCGGATCAGGAGCAGCTGGAGCGGCCCTCTCACTGTCTGGTGTTGTTACTGAGGAAAGAAAATGCGACGCACCACAGTGTTAGTCTTCCAGCAGGTCTGATCTGTTTCAAATGATATCCACACCATAAATAATCTACATAAATCAAATGGAAAGTAAGAAATTGCGTGTAATAATGCAGTTGCCCTATTGTTACAGCCCTAATGAGAGAATTTAAGGCACAAAAGCTTCTGGGTTGCATCCAATCCAGGCTTGAAGGTGTTCACACAGTAGAGTCGAGCTTCTGTTTCCACGCTGTATCTTACAGCAATAACCTGTTCCATATCTTTGGTAAGCACTGTATGTTAAGAAACAGTAAAGATTATAGCAGATGATCCTCTGCTGTTGTCCTTTATGTTCCCTATGTATATATTCTTTTTAGTTAGGCGAATGTGTGCAGTGCCAGATCCCTCAGGTGTGATCCTGTCCCATCAGAAGTGCTCATCCACCTCTAACATGGAGCAGGTGGTGATTTTGACCTTGTGTGGGAAGGACATGAGCCAAGGCCTGAGCCTCCTACACAGAGTGCTGACAGAAGGGGCAGCAGGTGGGTGAAGTTCAGCTGTATTTACGAGAGAACAGCCTGTCCTGGGCTTTGGAACTGGAGGTGGCAGTAAACAAACAAAATACACTGTCAAATACAGATAGCAGCCTACAGAGTTGAATGAATAAACAAATTAATGTGAGAGAATTATTTCATCAGAATTCTGTCCCCACCCCCCCGTATTCTTCAATGTTTGCAATGTTCTTTTAATTTATATTCAAGGTGACGTACAACGCACAGGATTCGAGCTGCTCGGCCTGAAGTATCTGCCTGTGTTGACTCGAATTCAGGCTCAGGAGCTTAGTCCATACGAGGTGGGAGAGCAGCTCTGTCACAACAGCCTGGACAATCTGATGCCCTCTCCTGCCCTAGTGTGTGCTCTTAGACGAGTGGATGGTTTTGCTTTGCTGAGAAAGCTCCTACCACACAATTACCCTGGTAACCTCAGTGTCCTGATGTCACCCACACCTGAAGTGGCTTTCAGACAAGCGTCCCTCTTCTTCTTTGAGCATGAGACCATTCCTGGTAGGTTTGTTATGGGCTGTATAAAACATGCAATCAGACGCATTTAAGTCAATCCCAGCATTTAAGGAGAAATACAAAGATAGCCTTGTGTGTGTGTGTGTGTGTGTGTGTGTGTACAAGCTGGGAATAGGCTTACCACCCCACTTCTGTCCTTTGGAGACTACAGACTGCCCCAAATTGGGGAAGCTTCTTCCCCAAAACTGCAGTACAAAAGGTGGAAGCAACCCCAATTCTAAATAATATTCACAACGACCATGTTGAGCTTGTTTGATTGTTTCAGGAATTAGTGGATGTAGTGATATTTAAAAGTTGATTTCTAACAACTACTCTGCACACAATAATTATATTTTATCTTCAGTCACAAAACAAACTCTACAGTGTAAAAAAGGTTTCCCTTCAGTTTGGGGATCCTACTGGTTTAGAAGTCTGAGGCACTCAGGAGGGTAATGATTTTTTTTTTTATTTATATGTTTTTCAACTGTTACTATGAGTAAATAGCCATGAGATATTAAAGGATTTTTGAATCACCACCCTCTTGAGTGCCTCAGATCTCTTCCACAGTTCTATTTATATTTTATATTGTAATTCACCAGAGGGGCATTTTTCTTTATTGTAGCAACTAAACCGATGAACTCTCTGACTCTGCATGCTCAGAGTTTTCCAGCTCACGGGCTCAAAACAGCACATGCAGTATATAGGGTTGCTTGTCTTCACAAATAGGTTCATAAATACTCAGTATAAATCTGAGTGATTAATATATTTTGTGCAGCTTAGAATTATTATAGTCTATAATAATGGCAAACTACTATAGTGATGTTTTATCATGTTCTAAGTGGGAGTTGCTGTAGATTCTGTTACAATTTTGATGTCAAAATCAAAAGATGAATCATTTAGTCACAGAACTGTGTTTTATAGTGTGGACATGCTGCAGGTCATGAATATTGTATAATACTGAACATTCAAAATATTTACAATATGCTTAAATATTAAAAAGTGGTGTAACAGTAACAAGCTAACTTTCTGTTCAGACCCACAGATGCTGCTCACTGTGTGCCTATTCAAGCCAGGAATCTGGAACCACGCTCTGGCTGAAATAGTTTGGAAACTCCAACTGAGTGGCCTCAGGATAGTGGGCCTGCGTGTAGTGACCCTGGACAGAAGCAACGCTACCTCACTTCTGCCTGCAGAAAGTGTAACTGAGAATGATTATCTGACTGAAAAATAAGCTTTCCTTTCATGCCAAACGTATGCCATTATAATTCATACAGTGTTGTGTGCAGGACCCCTCAGACATGGAGACCCATGTGGAGTACTTGTGCTCTGGCTCCTCACTGGCTCTCTGCCTTGAGGGGGAGAATGCTGTGAGAAGGCTGCTGTATGTGCTGGGCCAAGAGGACTGGACAACCTGTTTTGGCATGGCTCAGTCACACAAAGGCATCTATGGTCAGTGCCTTGTACTGCACACTGGTGCACATTCAAAAACAGGGTTACTCTGTATGATACAGTATAAGTGCATTAAGTTAAGCACTTTATTTGAAATGTTACAGGATCAGAATCATATCAGAAAGCAATTCAGGATGTGAAGAGGCTTTTTCCAAACGGGCTCTGCTGTTCTCAGACCAGCACAATGAGACAGGAGCAGGTATGCATATCACCCACAGGACTTGGTACATTGGTTCTGCATCTGATTGGTAAATGGCAGACATTCTGTGTTTGTGCTTGGTTTCTTTTTTCAGATACTCAAGATGTGCTCAGACCCTTTAGCCTCTGTGGAGCGTGAACAGAGCTGCACACTGGCCCTCATTGCCCGGGAGTGTCTGTCACCTTCAGTGGCATCAGAACCAAATAGAGGTTTGGACTACTTCTTTGGTTTTATTTTCATAAATAGACAATTATATGTATTGGTAACTTTTATGAAGTGCAATGCTGTAAACTTGAACAAGGCTATGCCCTGTGGTCATAGTATTGTTATTACTTTAAACTCAAAGCATTGAGCACTGCACAGCATAGCAAAATGGGTCCCTTCAAATTATTTAATCATTTATTGTGACTTTGGCAGGGACTCCTCTGGAATGGATGTTGAAATATGACTCAGTTCCAGATGACCTTTGTAAACCATGCAAAAACAAATGTCCTGTTTTGCTTGTTTGTTGGTACCAGGGTCCCTGATACACAGTGCTCTCTGGCAGACAACCTGTCTGCTGATACCCTTAAACGCTCCACCCCTCAGCCAGGTGCCATCCCAGCTGGACCTGCTGGAGCAGTTGCTGAGGTCAGGCTGCCATCTGGTGGCAGGGAGGATGAGCATACTAGATAATGAGCAGAGGAAACATATCGCTGAGACACTGAAAGTGTCATCAAGAGGCAATGATAAGGTGAGTGGTTTTGGTTTAAAAGAAGTTTGAGCTTACTTTCTTACAAATAGAGCAATCAGCAGCTGATTTCCCCTGCTGTTATGTCTTTAAAAGATGGCTCATCTTTTCACTACACCCTGTCTCATCATGGCTCTGCAAGGGGAAATGATTGTGACCTGCTTTAACCTGATCCTTGAAAGGTATGGACAAAGACACTCAAATCTATCGTGTGAATATGTGGGGTATTTACATAAAAATAACTGTTTCATTTTCCCTTCGTCACCATTACACTAGCATCTACAAGGACAGGTCAGACCTAGAAAAAGTGGGGAAAAGGATCATCTACACCAAGAATGAGGAAGAGGTAAATCATGAATTCTGCTTTTTCTTTACTGCCTCATTTAGCTCCTTTGTTAAAACCAAGCAGGTGTAATGCTGTGTTAAGGTTTGTTGTATTATCATGAATATTGCTTGGTTGAGCAACATGTCACTTCTGAACTTATGTTGTTCTCTCCTCCAGGCCAAGCAGCTCATATGTTACCTATTTGATGTCTTGTCTTCCAAGAGCTGTCATACTATTGTGCCATGAAGTTCACATTGGTGCATATGTTAGGTTAGGCTACATCAGTTTCCATTTTCACAACATGTCATGAAAAATGTAATTTATAATTCTAATTGTTCAGGAAAAACTTGTGTTAGATAATTAAATATTTTTCAGATCAGTGCAATGTAATTAATGTTTTTCTTTGGTGTCCTCTTGACATCTTCGGCACCAACAGTATTCTAAGAACTTTATTCTGTACCTTGTGTTTGAGACAAAGAGTATTCACACACTTCAGATGAAAAATTATTTTAATTCTCAAGATGATAAAAATAACTTTGTGAACTCTGTAAACCATTGCATAACTGTAGTGTTACAATTTAACAAGTGTTAACAAACTAGTAATACACTACAGAAAATATGCGGTACACAATCCTCAATGTAGAAAAGAAAAATCTAGTATTCTAAGACTTGCACCTATTTTTGTGTTCACAACACAAAAAATTTCGATATACCAACAGAATAATTTCTACGATTATCAGTAGAGAATTTCCTACATATCCATACAGCTTGTCACAAAATAAGGGACATATTTTTTAATCTATAAATAATGTCTAAACCCACTGACATTAAGTAAATATATCTATGAAATGCAGTTTCCTCAGATTTAACACATTCTCTATTAAATCACTGTATTACCTTGAGAAAAATACATTTCTTTCCTTATATATCCGCATTATGCTGACAAATAGAAACTTGAAAACTTGCATTTGTTTTAGTTCTAATAAATTTTATTGAATAGCAGTTCACAACTAGATGCTACATCATAATGAATTAACTGCGCTCCATAATATCCAGTGACCTATTAATTGAATACCTAATTTAGAACAATACATTCAATATTTCAGGGCTTCAATGTTAAATAACATTTCTACTGATCTGTTCTAAAGTGTATGGAACAAATGGTTCCACATTCAGATTATTTACTTTTGACAACACTTGTTGTACTAGTATTTTACTTAATTTGAACAGCTCCATACATCATACTCATATACATGTACAAGATTGCATAAATCTTCAGGCTCCATTTTCATAATATTAAAAACAAAAAGACAACACAACAACTAACAATAATGCAAAATAGATTAAACTATTCCAATGCAGAGCATAATGAAACATCTAATACAGTTCATTTACAAGAGTCTTCCTATTTGGTGCTTTTCCTTACAAACAATTGAGTTTTTGGTGCCAAATGACTAATTGAGATCAAAATTGTGTATTCAATGGTCAAGTATTGCTGTGTTTTTTTTGTTTGTTTTTTAAAATGGTATGGCAAATACAGACTGAGACAGACAATTATCAGTCAATTCTAACCTTTGCTTCCTGCTGTGGAACTGGTAGGCAAATCTCATTAGATTAGCTTTTTCCTTTTCAACTCAAGTAGCTTGAATGCACAGAATTGTTTAGCAATCACATTTGTGGTCCACAAAAATATTGTAAGGCACTGGAATTTTGATTCTAATTAAACATGTTATATTTTGTCTCAGACATATTCTCTTGATACCAATCAACATAATGTAATTGTTAAAGGCACAGATGTACATGAATGTGTAATTGGTCCGTTAGAGATACATTTTAACAAATCTAAAGTAATGTAAAGAAATGCAAGCTGTGCTTACTAAGTGAATGTTAGTTTAATTTCTTTTTAGAAAATTTGAATTGGGGCAAGTAGACCACAAGAGAAACCGACAGCCAACAACAAATTACCATAACAACAACTCAGTTTTAATTATGTCTGTATCTGCCATCAATGTTTTGTCACAATCATCATCTGTCCCCTGTAATTTTACAAAAAACAAAAACTAATTTGGACCACGGCTTTAAGGAATAGAAAACAGTCAGATAGAAAGAAAGCACCTTACAGTCACTGTAGGCCTATCATAACAGCATATAATGCATAACCATCAATTTCCAAAGTGATTGTGATTATGTGGTTAAGCAAAATCAACAAATAAACAAAACTTCAGAACAGTAGTTGTAGTGAAGTTTATATGGCCACTTCAGAAGCACAAATGTCATTCACCTTTGACATTCCTTCACTGTAGACAACAAATAAACTGACACTGAATCCTTGCTTAAAGTCAGCATGTGCTAGCCAGTATTGCACAAACCTGCCATAAACGTCAATGTATACTTAACACAAAATCAAATATACAAATACACATTTCTGTAAGGATCTGACCCATGCATTTTTGATCATTTGTGTATCAACTCACTATAGCTAACTTTAGATAGAAAAAGATGCCATTAATTACTGTTAATGAACATTATCTATTTAAGGTACTAGGTGATTACTTTTTTAAACTCAATTTAGGTTTCTTACTGAAATAAAACCAACGATGAAATGTAGTACAAAAAAGAAATAACAACAGTACAGGTCTTTGGTAAAACTGCAAAAATTCCATTAATGTTGTAAGCAAAATCCATTAGCATAGTCCTGTTGTTTATTCAGTAAGAGGATATATGTTCTACTAAATGAAATATCAAAGCAAAAATCCATCTGAAAACAGAATTCCTGCCACTCACAATGCTGGACTTTGTCTTGGTTTCATCTGCAAAAGACCCGGCCCTGTTCACAACTACAGGCTGATCTGTCCAAGAGCAATTATTTGAATCCTGTTCAAGGGTAAATTTTCCCTTTAGAATACATATTTGGACAGCTACTAGAACACCACTTTGGTTCATTTTTAGATTATCACACTAGACATCATTAATTTAGTTGGCTTCACAGGCAAAACAAAATAGACTGAAGGATCCTGTGAAATTAGCTGCACCGTACACTGATATCCAGTGTATGGGGGTGGGGGAAGAAATCCAACAAAAACATTTACCTTCAATCAAATAAAAAAGGGGACAATCTAGCAGTACAGGTTGGTGACATCATTCTAAGTGAAATACGAAAGTACTGAAACTTTGACTCAAATGCATTTACAAATGAATTATCCAATCAAATTAAGAGTTAGATTGTTTCTGAAATCTGAGCTGTGGATGCACAACAACATTCAAACATCTAAATGTATAACAGGAAACTACATTAATACCTTTTCCAGTAGCAGCGAAGCTTGCAGAAGTTATTAAGCCTTTACTACACTAAAAATAAGTCAATACAAATATTCTGGCAGTGTGACACAGTGCAAACTTTTTTTTTTGTCTTTTTTGTAGCTGGTTAATATATCGCATAACATGCAATACCAGAAGTGTTTAGGCTGCCTTTTATGCTGTAATATAATCATGAAAATGCTAAAATACCATAACCTTTCTTGATATTTTTCCTCTGAGTTGCTTAATTGTCATTTATGTGAATGTAAACAATGCATCTTCCCATATTCATAAGTAGCAAAAGGTGTACCTGGAGATACATGATTTTCTATTGAATTTAAAGCAAGAATAAAAAGATTTTTGAACACAGTAGAAGGTCATTTCAATTAGAGGAACCTAATCACAAATGCTATGCAAAATCCAACCTACAAGTTAACTACAGAATTCTTCAACCGCTGCAGAATTATTACAATAAAACAAATTAAAGTTACTGAACTGTTTAAAAAGCATTTTTATATGTTACTATACAAATTCATGTGTCCTGTTTGCATACTCCCAAGCGTTAAATTGAAAAACCTAATTTCAAAGCCTGAAGCTGCACCAAAAGAGCACCACGACCAAGGAATGAGTGTGTGGGTAGTTGGAGGGGAGAGTGAAGGTTCGTTTCTAAGGTTGAAGTCAGGACACAGGAACTGACAATGTTTGTTTTCAATTATCTTGCGCAGAAATACTTAATGGGATTGGGCCAAACACACTGGCATATATTTATATATACACATATAGTCATACACATTTCAATGCTTCTGCAAAGTTTAACAAGACACATTATGCAGAAACCTGTGCACAAGCTTCAACTACTTGTGTTTGCTCTGACAATTCTACACATAACCTTTTCAACTAAGGCAAGGCACTTTCGAGTTAGAGGCCGATATGTTCTAGACAAGGTCAAGAGGCTAGATTCCTACAAAAATCACCATTTCAGGCTTTTAGCAAATACAATACATGCTTCTCTAATGGCTAGGCTATATAAATCTCTACAAAACAAAACTAACTGATTGAATAACAGCCTTAACATGTAGCATGTGCCTTACTGATATTATAGCTGCTGGTTATGCCTAAAATGCATCTTAAATTTGCACTTATTTGATTGAAATTTTATAAATCTAACTATGAAAGTAGAAACTATTAAGTACTTTTTTATGAAATCTTAATATGTAGAACCATGCCATGATTTAACAATAGGAAACATGAAATATTCAAATGATGTTTCACAGTACACACAAAAGCTTCAGACATTAGCTTATATAGAAAAAAAATTATAAATCTAAAAAAGACACAAAAGAATACCTACAAAGCAGCTTAAAGCAAATTTCTATATACCCTTTAATAAAGTCCCAGGTCAACAAAGTGCTTTAGTAAGAAATCAAACGTCTTCAGAAAGTTGGTCAAAATAATGATGCTTGACTGGTTGCACTGAAAAACATTGCTAAAGAAAATTTGGGTTTAAGAAAATGTGGCTTTACTTAAAGAGGAACACTGTTCAACATGCATTTGTTTTGTTTCCTGGTTTAGTCTGATTTACAGATACAGGTGTGGTTCGGCACTAATACCGCAATAGATTTGTGAAACATTTTACAAATCAAACCAGTTTATATATTTGGACAGTACTTTGGAGGAAGAGTTCTATTCTTTCATCAATTACTCCACGTACAGCTGAATGCAGGAATGTATTCATTTCTCAGGGCATGGAGCTTCTGAGCATCAAGTGCTTTCTGGGACAATGAAGTTAGTTCATCAGCGACCCATTTCACAATCCAGACTAATTAGGCTAAAACAAAAATATGATTACTGAATTAAGTATCAGTCACATTCCGGTTCTTGAAAGTCTGGTTTCTTAATTTGTTCCTCTTTAATTAAAGAAAAATCTGTTTTGAGTTTTGCCCATTTTATGGTTAACATCACCGGAGTATTTCTAATATTTACAGTGATTTCCTTGCTTTTGAGCTACCAACCTGAAATACCTATGGCATGAGCTATTATGGTAAAATATCAACAAATGTCTATATTTCTCTATCAATGTGTGGGATTATTTTGTCCACAATGGGGAACCGTTCATATTCAAATTCCCCTGTGCAGGTCAGTGGACTACAGGGCTACTCCCCTTGATATTATCACAAAGGATACTTTGTTTTTCAAACTTCTTCCACCCTGAGGATGACTGAAAAATTACCTTAAGACTTATAGTATGAAAAGGACAGTTCTTTTTATATGCATTTTTAAAACTAGAACTATTTTCAGTTAAGATATAATATTCAAGTTACAGTAAGTTTTCCTTCTCCAAAGACAAGCATCTCTGATTTACTAAAACATTTTATTGACTTAATTTCTGAAAGGTTGAGGTTGAAATGCGGACTTTAAGTGCATTAAGTAGATATCAACCTAGAGATTTATCACTATTTCCAAATCAGTCAATAATTTATTAAAAGCGCAGTAAAGTATTTCAAATCCATTAATATCAAAACATCGGGGCAGAAATACAAACTCACACTCATTACTGTATTTGTGTATACAGGTTTTTACCAAGTTTATTGGTCCTGTTTGCAATTATTATTATTTTTTTGTAGATCTGTGTTTATTGTAAGAGCAATATGTCAGGGTGGCAATGCTTATTTGCATTTTGTTTGGTGAAAGCACAACTGCATTATGTGTTTAGCCAGAGTGCATTCATAAAAAAGTGTAAACAAAATGAGTTATGTCCATTAGAGTGACTGAATCACAACTGAAGAGTTGAGAAAGGGCATCGTAAGGTAATTTAATATTCTAATTTGAGTGCTGTCTGGTTGAACAGGTAATGTACACATAATATGAGCAAAAACTATAATGATTGAATCCCCTGAACACAGTCTGATTCATAATACTATTTGTTTTGTCAGTCAAACATCATTTTATTCTAAATTAATTCAATCACTGTATGAAACAGACATTGCTATTTAGAAAATCTATCTATTAGTAGTTTTTCAAAGGGCTAAATCTTTAAATAGTACCTTGAGTAACTGTACATCACCACTTCAATATTTTTGTTCTACAGTAGGGACATTCTGTTTTACTAGGTGCACAGTTCTCACATAGTACATAATGTTGGCAAGGCTGCAGAACAATGCAACGATCATGCTTTTGGCAAACTATACATTTCTTTGACTGAAGCTGATATATTACCTGTTGGGGAAGAAAAGAATGCATATCAGCTGCAACTTAAAAATACAGTTCATGCAGACTTTTAAAAAAAGCATGCTTGATGACAGAACGTAGATCTGAATGCTAGCCTGATTAAGTGTTTTAAAACTATGTACATGCTACAAATGAAATGCTGTGTGTGATCTAGTCTTTCTTACCCCATCTATAAGATCTAGGTCATTACGCAGCTGACTCTGGATGGAGTGAAGCTTTGACAAGGGGAGCTGCTCCAGCTCTCCGTAGCTACGTAGAAGAGGTGTTCCAGGGGTGCGACAAAGCACATCAAAGTCCCCTTGGAGCTCTTTCAGCTTGCGCTCTGTTTCCTCCCATTTCTGTTCTGCCAGCTGCCGCTCTGCCTCGGCCGTTTTTGCTTGTTCCTTTGCTTCATGAGCGTCTTTCTGGCAAGCTTCACAGGCCTGGAACAAAGTTGAGTTGTGATTAAAAAAATCTCACTTATCTATAAAAAGGGAAATCACTCTGATACACAAGGATATTTATTGCAACGAGAGCTTTTTTTTTAGACTGACTTGTTTGACCTGTTGCCAGGCCTCCTCCCATTGTTTGATCTTCCTCTTGGCCTCGTCCAGCTCTCTAAAAAGGCGGGCCAGATCAGCACTGTTGGTTGTGGAGGTTAGGCTGCTGAAAACTGGAGACGGACTCGGTGAAAAGCTGCCACTTACAAAGTCCCAGATGTTGCTAGCCCCTCCATTCAAGCCTAGTTGAGTGAGCGGTTAAAAATCACAAGACCAAGCATAAAAGTGAAAAGTTAGTTTTGGCTGTGTAAGTGGAACATTTCACTTAAGTCATCTTGAGCTATTTCTTTTGACATATAAGACTCTAGATTAAAATCTGAAGTCAAATGCTTTACAGCTCACTCAATGTCTGATGCTATCAGCTTACCCAAAGAATTCTGGGAAGAGGAGGTGGGTGTTCCCAGGAGGCCATGCTCTTGCTTGGCTAACATGTTTGAAGGTTGATTTTGCTGCGATATTGTCCCAGACATCAGGGACTGTGACAGAGACTGGGAGAGGGAGCTTAGTGGGGAGGTGGAGAGTGATGATGATGAATTAAAAGAGGATGATCGTGCCAGGGAACCTGGAATGTTAACCGGAGCAGATCCACCTAGCACCCTTTGACCTGTGGGGACAAAGTGAATACTGCTGTTGCTTTTTTTAAATAATTGACAAGCAAATTATGAAGAGACCATTTGAGATCAAAAGGTCAAACAGCTGAAACTACTTTAAGGAAGGAGGTGTCCTTACTTGTCAATCCTATACTGTTGTCTTGCTCCTCCAACTCCTTATCGAGAGATGCAACATTGATGTCACTAAAGTTGAGGTCTAGAGCGGATCCTGAGGAAAAACAAAACACATCTGGCTGACATTTGACAACAAAATACAGAGGGGCAAGAGTCAGTTCAACTGGTTTACGGTTGACTTTACATACACATACCTATCACAGACTCCACAGTGTTGCTCCCTGGATAGAAAGGAGTGGCTTTTGCATTCATTGTTGATAAGGTGGTAGGTGAAGAACTATCTGAGCCAATACTAGAGGCCAAGCTGGATGTTATACTGGAGGTAAAGCTTGATGCCAAAGGGTTCACCGCAGAGAATACAGTATTTTGTGTCTATAAAAGAAAAAAAAAAGAAAAATGTTAAATTTCCAATGTATTGTAAATAATATATTATTTAATATCATCATCATAATATAATTACAACAAAGTATCCAATTTAAACACAGACCTGTTTTTCTTGGTCCATCAATTTTTGATCCACCTGCCCCTTGTTCTTAATCTAAAAATTATCAAATAACACAGACAGCACATTTAAGTGACAAAACTCTTACATTTTACCCCCACACAGCTATATATAAATATAAATTAAAAATGCATTTCTACACTGACAAAAATAAAAGAGCCTATTTCAACACAGACTTTTTGCCGTTAACCATTATTTACTTTACCCTGATGAAGTCAGCTTGCTCTGAAGCAATGTTAAATACTACTGAATTTTCCAGTAGTTCTTGTCATGATTCATGTGGTAACTGTCTAGTGAATTATATCTAATCAGAGTCAGAGATAACTTTTCCTTTCACTTGTATCACTAGGAACGATTCTAACATGTTGCCTTTCATTACAGTACGTCCAGGATGACAGGAACAGAAACAATTTGCTGAGTGGGCGGCCTTCTGTAATTACAACATCAGAAAGCAGTGACGTCAATCAGGGGAATTCTGAGTGTACAGTTACAAATTCTATGGCTGAGTATGCAGTGTCAATATTATTTAGGCAGTCTGATTGCAAGATTGAGCTTTTCAGAATTTATGCAACTTTGATTAATGCGTATCACTCAGAACAACTAAAAAAACACTAGTTTGTTATGAAATCGCCCAAATAAAAACTACTACATATTTTATTTTTATTAATTTTATTCTCTCATCAAGTGATAACATACCATTGAGTCTCTCAAAACTAAAAGTGCAAATTACAGGAAAATGGCTCAAAGTAATAAAAAGAAAATGACATGGCAAATAATGAATGAGAAATAAAGAAGAGTGATTCAAAATGAATGACAGTGACACATTGTGTGTAAAGCCCTATGTTGTCTATGTGTTATATTGTTCTTGAAGCTAAAGAGAGCAGTCTGTGTACCTGATCCTCACGTTCAAAGCCCGGAGCTTTAGGATAGTTAGACGTCAGAGAGGAGACACTGGATGTGGTGGACTCTGAACATAAACTACTATTAGTTAAGGATTTGGGCCTGCTGATGGATCCCACTGGGGATAACAAACTGTCGCTTCCTGAGCTTGAAGTTACAGTTGAGCTATTAGAACATGAAACCTGAGAAAGAGAAGTGCACATGATCTTAATAAAATGATGATAAAAATAGATAAATAAAATAAAATAAATAAAACCATTATTCTGAATGGACTATGAAGGTGATCTATTGAGAATGTAAAAATAAATGAAGACTAGCTGTTTTTACTGAATCATTGTGTCAAATATCACTTTCAATGGAAAATTGCCTTTTCTGTTCTTTTAAAACAAGGTAGTAATGTAATATAAAACACTACAAGGAAATTGTAATGACAAAATAATGTGCAAAAAGCATGCCAACAGAAAAATGAGAGCATCATAAACAACATGTACACTAGTAAATGGCTGAATTGCATTAGATGAATTGAGATTTAGGTAGATTCAAAAGCAGGTGTCCATAAGAAATTTGCCTACACCTAGGTTGAGTTGATTCTGATCAATTTCCTATTAAAAGGACTGACACAGCAACAAAGAAAACATACACTTCCTACTTGTCCGTTGCTACTGGTTGCGTTGGTGGTGGAGTTGCCTCCACTGTTCCACTCACTGACTGGACACTCTGAATACTGCTGAGAGCCCATCTGAGACTGTGAACTTGACTGTATCACTGTTAACAATGAGCTCATGGTCTCTTCTGTAGAGGGAATTCCTAAAATGATTAAAATAAATATTAAATCTTCATATAGTGTGTAAAGAACCAGGTTGCCAACATTCAATAACATTAACACATTCATTGTGATTATGTTTAAATCAATCAGAAAAAGGCAAAGAAAATATCTTCAAAAGTGTGTGTATAAAATCCTTAACTCAAAAAAGAACATATTAATTTCATAGATTTGTAATTCTCTACCCAAGCACTGAGACAGTCTTTTACTTACTTTCTACATGTGCAAATGCACAAAAAGGTCCTCTGGGACAGTATCCAGTTTGTCGCATATCATTGCATTTGGTAGATTTGTAGATCTTAGAGAAAGGCAAACAAACAAACATTACATATCATAGTCACCATTATTGTTTTGGTATCTAGTCAGTTTCAAGGCTTGTGCAACACAACAGTCATTACATTTATTTATACATGTATATGTTATCAAACTATATTTTACTTTACATTATCTTTGTATAGGCTAAAATGGTAATTAATGTCTGCTGTGATCTACTGTATATGTATGTCATGCTGCATGTATAAGTTCAATACTACCTGAGCTATCCTTTATCTGTTAATTTTCAGACAAAATTCCACTCACTTCTGGGTGAAACTGCTGTTCAGTGCGAGAGTGACAATACTGGCAGCTGTCTCCACTGTCACACTTTGAGGGCTCGCCCCATTCATCTCCATGTTTCACATTAGGGCAAGGAGTTGACCTGCATTCATAGAGTCAGAACACTTTACCCACTGAAATTAGACAACTTAATACCATTTGTTATTTTCACTTAAACTGAGTCACATCTTACCTATATTTGAACTTTCTAGGATTTCGTCTTCGATCTCTACTGTTGTGGTAGTGTGGGCAAGCGTAGCCCTGTCTGCATAGTCTTGGGGGCTTAGTACACTGATCTGTTTTATAGTTGGCTAAAACAAAGTTGGTATCTGCAAAATACACATAAAAGTATTAATGTAATGTTTATTTTTATCAGCTTAAAAAGGGTGCTCTTTGGCATTGCATGAGCCCATTAACACCAGAGTGGGGGTTACTCACCTTGCCACCGGGGGTCTTCTGTCAAAGTTTTCTCAATCATAGCTTGGCTGGCTAATACACCCGGCTGCAGATCAGGAATACCTTCCCCAGATCCCAACTGTCCATTTTGAAGAGCCTCTTGTGCTTGGATCTCTCTGTGCACATACAAAGTATGTTATTGTTATTATTAAAAAAGATCTTGGTTCAACACCCTTAAACTTATTGTCCTGTTTAAGGAACCTTGCTTGTTGTCTGAAACAGTTATCATATAAAGTTAAATTTCTGTCCTCTCTCACATAACCATCAATCACCATCCAATTTTATCATTAAACTGCATTTATTTAATCAAACCATATCTGGTGGATCTGAATTGCAAAATACTATAATTTATACTGGACCAACTGACATAATAACGCTTCTTAGCATTAGTTATAGGCAGGAGTTACAGCATGATGATACAATTCATAAATACATCTTGAAATATTATCAAAATACCAAGAAAAGAAAGATAACGTAACAATTGTGCAGAGGTTTATCAACTGAACTCACTGCACTTAACATTTTGAAAAACCCCTCTGTTTGAGTCTTGGTATCAGCCAATCTTACACAGAATCTTTCAGCAACACAGAGCTCAATAAAACATGTTGGGTGTTTGTATTTTTTATAATTCATTGAGCCAAGCCCTAAAAACTGAGTTACATTGAAACCATTAATCCCATTCAATATGCACTAGGTATTCCACTACATTATGTCTAAATTGGCTGATTTGTTCATTCCATTGTGAGTGAAACTGTTGGCAGGGAAAAGAGAGGCCACTATTTGCTTTGTATGTCACCTGATATCATAGACTGGAGGTCGGAGATCATGTGGCCCGTGAGCAAAAGCACAGTGGAGGCCATTCTTCACACAATGCCCTCGAGCGTCTGTCTCATGGATACAAGTGCCAGTCTTGTAATAGCGTAGATGGTACTTGCGCTCTGTGTCACCAGTGGTCCGGTGTAAATAAGGACAGCTGAGGAAGCAAGGATACAACATTGAAATATTTCATCAGCTCATTTAAATAAAACATCTAAATGAATATGATTTGGCTTGACATTAAAATAAAGCACAGAAAGTGCATCCAAACCTCAAATCTGTCCAAAATAAACACAAAATAGAGAACTAATTGGTTTTAAACTGTATGACCTTCCTTCAAGTTCAACATATAATTGGAGAGAGCAACTTTAAGATGTATGCAGGCATGATATGACATGATTTTTAAGAGCATGAAACAGGCAAGCACTGCAATGAAGATAAAAAATGGTCCAAACCATTCATTATAAAGCCACAAGAATTATAAAAGGAGGGAATTCTTATAGTTGCACAGATTTTTAAGTCAGGAATAAGATTCTGCTGTGACTGCAGGGCTGACACACCAGCAATGCCTCGAGAAATGTATGGCCAATAAGCCTCTTGAATAAACCAATTTTTCCTTTCTTGAGTAGCAACAGTTGCTATAGCAACCCATAAGGTCATACAAAAATAGCTGCCATTGGCAGAGGAGGAATAGTGAGGATTGCAGCCGTTCATTTTTCATTAGTTCAATAATCTCACTTCATTTTTCATTTCTATGTAGGGCTCAATTAAACGCTGTGCCATTTTTAATTCCCAATCACATACAGAGGCTGCTGCCTTGATATACTACCTGCTGCAAATTAATGGGGAAAGGCATCGCCTCACCTTTTGAGGATTCACCAATCTAGTTTCTGTGCAACTCGACAATACTCAATATTTAATTATTAAAATTGACCCCTCTAAAGCCACAAGCCTATCACAATATGTTTAGAAACTATTTCCCCCCTGTGATGACAGAGGACAAATGATGCTATGTGCAAAACAATCAAAATAGTTATTCTAATGTAGGGACACGATGGGGAACTGACATTTTTTAAACTATGAAGCTAGGTAATCACATGTTGCCATTATCTGAAATTAATAGTAGCACTGGTGAATAAACAATACTGGAGGGCACCCAGAGGCGACCTATCAAGTTGCCTTATCTCAAAGACAAAGAGGTGCAGCCATGCTAAATAAAGTGTGAGTTCAATCTGAAATGTTGAATTCGGTACATACTCTTTATAGAGAACGCATGCAACAACACAAAGGGCAAATACGTGGCCCTTGAAATACTGCATCTGTAAGACGCTGCCAACATCTGCTGCAACGTTAAACAGTTTTAAATAATGAATACTGATCACCAAGCAACTACCACTGCAATCCCATTTGTCTGCCTAAATAAATAAATTAAACAATAATATAATCATACTCTTCATATTACACTCCTCACTTGCAACGTGCAAAGAATACACAGTCCCTGTTATCTTTAGAGCACTCTTATCAGTGCTTGATTTCTTTGATTACAAAAGCACACAGTCCTTTACTGGTGGACATTTTAAAAAAAACATCTCCTGCATCAAATTGGCTGTTAGTGACTGTTTATAATCTTAACAATCTATAATTCAGGCTCATGTGAATGGTTGTGCATAAATGCCATTAGCAGAGAGCTCGCTTATCCTACACACTTGCCTTACTGTAGCCACAGCAAGCTGGTGTAATTGAGAAAAACATTTCAGTCTATGAGAATGTCACAAAATTCAAAAAAATTAAGAAATGCTTTAAATCCCATGCAAATGTCACTACATGAAAACTGAGCTATATAGCTGGTCTTTTGGTTGATTTGGACCCAAACATCCGTCATTTGTCAGCAGCTACACCATGACGCACTGACATATCCATGAAGCTGAAGAATGGCAATGAAACGGGGACTTACTCGTCTCCATCTGGGCAAATGCCTGTGGTCTCGTCGTATTTCGTGCAGTACACGTCGGGGCTGTAGTTAAAAGTTCCGTCTCTTCTTCTTATTGGTCGTCTTCGCCGCTGGTTGAGAAAATGCCAATTAAAGCACGTAAAGGGTCTGTGCTGCGTGCACTTGTGCTGGAGGAACAACGGGCACTGCTCTGTCCTGAACTCCTTCAAGTATCTGAAACAACAACGACAAAAACAAAACAACAAATGTATCAGGGACCAGGTTTTTAAAATTAATACGAACTAAGAAATAACTAGAAGGCAAGAAAAAAAAAAAAGTTCAGACAGTGAGGTGTCGTGTTATGCTGCTAGTGGTGTAGCCTAACGTTACTATATATTTTGGGTCACTAACGTAGCTCGCTATTCAGAAAGCACACTACGTACGTATTTCGACGTAACACTTGTTGAAAATCCCTGAGCGTACGTCCATAAATGTGCGTAGCAAGAGGGAACTCAAAATAAGGCCGAGCTATTTACAAGCAGACTGGTTAGCGAGTTCCTGGCTAATCATTTAGCAGACCCAGTTCACGGTATAATATTCAACGGATTATTCGAAACAATTCCTCAACTCCGTAAAACTACTATAAACGATTCCGTTAGCGATTAGCTTGTCAATTAAGTGATTTAGATGCCCGCGTTTCCTACATTAGGGTTGGCGTCGTTAGCGTGCAGTCGCTGTTTGCTATGTAACGTTAGGTAGTCACAAAGCCAGGAAAAGCACCATGTTTTTAACACACACACAAGAGTTGAGGAATGCAAGAAATGCAAACGCGCATAGGTGCACGTGCAAATAACGATTTAGGAAGCGAGCGATTTTGTAGTTTTCTTTGCAGCAGCTTTACTCACGTATAGTGGGTAGGTTTCTCGGTTTGAGGGGACGCATTGGCCGCCGTTTTCGAAACCGACGGCATTTTCAGTCAAAACAATGAATTGCGCATGCGCTCGGATCTGTTGCTCGCGTCCATGCACGTCCGCCTGCACGCCAGCACAGTGCAAACACTGATGCAGGGGGCGCTGCATGGATGAGACGTGACATACTTCTGAGACTGTTTATGTCTTCACTTATCTGTGCTGATATACCTTCTGCGTCAACGTGCTGTTTTTATTGATAGTAAATATATATTTGAAATAAAATTAATTAACATTTCCCCCATATTCCATACCCCTATATATAGCTATTTTTATTGTCTGTTATCTTAAGTGTAATTCTGGTGGGGCAATAAAAAAAGCCCTTTATTTTATGTTATTTTTAAGATGATTGATGCTGCTCTTGAAGACACAATCAAATGTCACCATTGTCACATTCTTAAAAAATACATATAATTTTTAAATGAATAAATGACCTAGCCCCACACAAGTGGCGATTGTGAACAACTTTTTTCAGTAAAAGGCTTGCAAATATAGAATCCCTTACCACCTGAATTAAAAAAACATTTATAATTTAACATTTTAAATGTGAAAAAATATGAAAATGATCTGATTTTCTCCATCTGAGATTTACTAAGTCATCAATGCAAAAGTCTCTGACTTGACGTTGCACTTAGATTTTAACACCTCACTGGTGAAATCATCCTTTCTTATGTGAAGGTGTGTGTGATGGGGACATGTGAAAAGCCTCAATGTGTTCTCTATGTGTGGCTCTCACAAGTGTAACATTTTGTGATAAAAGCTACTCCTCTTCTTTTTATCCCTGTTGTCTACAAACATTAGGACAACACACTATATGCATTCAGCATACAGGTATGGGCTGATTAATAGTTCTATATAAATTGTAAAAAAAATATATATATATAAAAATGTGTTAATCATAAAATTATTTGTAAAATAACAGATAAAGTAGGTGTGATCTATTTTGGTTTCCTCAGCTTATTTAATGTAATAAAATGTTTATATTTTTACACAAACATATTTGTCATTATGTTTTGTGTCTCTTCGTCCACCTGAGGACACGACAATAAGTTCACCTTTCTGTTATTCCAAATGCGGCATCATCTGCTTTCAGTGTATTTTAGGTTTTGTTGCTAACAATCACATTTTTGTTTTTGATTGTCTTAAAATACATTATACAATGATAAGAAGAAGATAAGCCTCATCATTACTGCAGCATGTCAAACTCCAATCATTTTTCTTTCCTTCTGTATCAGGGAAGCTAATCTGTTCTATTCAGCTCCTTTTTCCTTTAAGGGATTTTAATTTACAAATGCAATTATACGCCTAATCCATTATTCAGCTGCTGAGGTCCACCGAGTGCACTGCCTTGTAATTATGCATAAACCCTGGACTAACCAGTTGTAATTACTTTGATATGCCCCACCCCCACTCATTTTACAGCTGGACAATGTCCAGTACCTTTCTTACATAAGAGACATTTTAAAGGGGACTCACCTTTATATAGAATTATATTTTGCTTGCTTGAAGCAGCTAAAGCAGAGTATCATCTCATCTGTGATGTCATCAAAAGTTATAAAACTGAGCATGCTCAGTTGATAAAGAATTGGAAGCTGAATTTAGGCAATGTAGCTACATTTAGGTACCAGTTCATAGGTAAATCTGTACAATCTAATATAATACAAAAAAACCAGCTCTGCAAGGATTTGTAATTTTGTGTTGTCAGAAAGGTGTTGAATCAACTTGGCTGTGCTATACTGAAAGATGTTTGTAATCTTTTAACATGCATGGGACAAAATCCTAGAAAGATCTTTCGGTGAAATGCGATCCAAAACAATAGCAACCCTACGGACTCTAAGATTATCATGTAGGTAAATCAACAACCTTTCTGAAGAAAACATGAACATCGAAGCATGTTAACTGCAGGACATTTGTGCAGTATTTCATTGTGTTGCACCTAATAGAGTTTGAACACCCATGTTTTTGAGCAACAGAAGCAGAGATAAGGGGTACAGTTACAGTGAGGAAAATATGCCCATATGCCTGCAAAAATACTGTGTTTTTAATGATTTTGCCAAAAAGATCCAGGATCTGTCTCTAGATTACATTATCATCATCATGCCAATCTGCCCAATATTATACATGATCAGCCTAAAGATGGTATATTATGTTCCTTTACCAGATAGATGTTTTGCTCACAAACACATTGTTTAATCCAGCATCATCCAGAGGAAGTACTGAATGTAAGCAAGGGGAAAAGTCACACCCTTTTTCCTTTCTGTGACGTCAGTCACCACAAACCTTTAACCTTACTCAGTAGTCTCAGCTGTACACACAGTCCACTGTGTCAACCTCTTCTCAAAGCATCTCCAATGTGTGTGTTTGTATGCGTGTGTATGTGTGATGTAAAGATGATCCCTTGCCTCTCCCACAGTGTTGAACTTGGAGGGTCTTGGCTTTGGTGTCTGTGCTGCTTGTTTATATCAATGAACTTGACAGCTCTCATTGCATTATTACTTGCCTGTCTTTCTGTCTTTGTGCCCTCTGTGGCTCAGATAGAACCATGTGCTGTTTATAGAAGATTATAGCCTTCACACATGTCTCAATGCACATGCAAAATATAAATGTATAAGCTAAAACCCTTCTTTGTCAAGGTTAACAGACAAAGACAAAACTGTGAAAAGTAGAACACGCTGAATGCTTTCTTGCAGAGTACGGATATGGGACATAACACTGTGAAATGGAAACATCATCTAAACCAATCTTTATGTACCACAACAAGTTTTGCATTTTTGCAGGCCTCTAATAAATAATCACTCAAACAATCCTCAGCGCTGCTTTCCCAGGCTGCTGGGACTGTTACAGCTGGAATAACAGTTTGTGGTTTGGACTCCTGTTTTTCCCAGTCACGCCATTATCTCTGCCTGCCTCATGCACAAACACAGCTCAGGTCCACCACAGACTGGCAATACACAGATTTTATATATTGGTGTAAAATCCTTAATCCAGGCATGATAAAGTTTCCTGTGTTTCCTCCACACACCTGCACCCTCTTTATTCCTAATGCATGGAACGTTTTGTACAAGCAGTGTTTGTTTTTGCAAACATAGGCATATAAGAAAGGGAATATTCTGTAAATCCTGTCATACTTCACAGTGCAGTACTACAGAGAAAGAATTTATAATGTTTGCTCTGACAGATAATAAACAATTAGAGGCTATAAAACTTTATGGCAGGTTTTATTAAAACATCTGCCATTAAGCCTCTGATGGAATACAATTTAAAATGTCTAAGCTGTACCAGTGTATCCTGGTAATCTGCATTTCATTAGCCTTTGATCAATGTGTTAATGAGCGTCTTTGTTCTGTTTGAAAGCATTTTATGAAACCGTAAGTAATGATATCCTCACATGCAGTGATTGCCTTTGGATGAGTCTGGTATCAAAATACATCTCATGTCACATTTTTGAATTTGGTATTTGTATTAACTGACTAAAACAAATGAGATAAATCAGTTCATGGACAGAAAAACAAGCCACAAATGTGCAGATGAAGTATCTTTGTCACAGACCCATCACTTACATGGTGGGTTGGCCATTGCTGTTTATCAAAGTAATATATGTTAAGGGCATGTAAGAATAAAAGATTGAAGCAGCTTCATGTTGCCAACATTAAATAATGTGTTTACCTAGTCTCATTCCCTGCTGGCAAAACAACATCTGCCTCTTTGCTATACCACCATACTAACAGGAACTGACAAGTGGAGCGATAACTCAGCTATCTTTGAAAAGAGCACTCATTGATTCTTACATTAAACTATATATTTAAGCTCAGACAGCAGATCTTGGAGATTAATCCCACAAAAATGGTATATGTTTTTAATTCACCTGACAGAGTGACAGTGAACACAACATCCAGTATAACAAGTAAGAAATAAAGGGTGTAGCTACATTACCCGTTATTTATTTCATGTTATACTTGAAGACATATAAATAGCTAGGTTTTATTTTAAATGTTTGTTCTTTTTTAAATCAAAGAAACACATTTCTTGTCATTAGAATTTATCAACAACTTCCACTTTATATTCATGAAAATTGTCTTTATTTCTAAAAAATAAAACAAATTTTGTCAACATTTGTTTGTATTGTCCAATGAATGTTTAGATATGGCCATTTGTTAGCTGAAACGCTCAAAGCAAGGGGTACAGTAATATCTTAGAAGTGGACAGTGAGAAGCCAGTCACAGCTATTGATAAATGATAGCAGTCATTTTGTCATGGCTTGTCATGGTGGTGTTGAGGTGGACGTTGGATATGTGGTAGTTTCAAGATAAACACATGTTTTCTTTTTACATTATACAGGTGAAAACTGAAATGACTGAAACAGATAGCCTGATTAGATTTGATGTGATGCAGTATTTCCTCTATGTATGCTGCTTTAGCTGTGATGCACACCTTTCCTATTTCTAAAGGTTATCCCACATACCCAGAACAATGTTCACACAATGTTTCATCATTGTCCGTCTTACTAAAAAGCTGGCCTCTTTTGACACTCATTTATCGATTATATTTCCCACTGGCTGTACTTCAAAGGTAGATGCGGACATTTAGCCTCTCACTCACATTTACTGTTGCCTGTCTTTCCATCCAGCAAACTTTTTGAAGAAATAACACACTCCATACACTTAAAGAAAACAATCCAATGTGCAGATTAACATGAAAATAGCTTAAGTACTGTTTTTTAGATGCACACATCGAGTCATTTCTATCCTTGTTTGAGTGTACATTCTTGGTGCTTTTGTGTTTTTGTTCAGAAAGTGAGCAGGTTAACTGAGACACTGGTACAACTATGTGGCAAAGCTAAATATCAGATGAAGAAAGCTGAGGTAATATTTCACACTGGGTGACATATCACTTTGATATTAAGATTTTTTTTAAAGCATATTTTTTTTACATTTGTCTATCTTCTTAGCAGTCACACCTCTGACACTTCGCTCCTGACAGGGAGGTGTAAATCGAGGCCATGGTGGCAGAAGCGGTTCACTACTGACCAGCTGGCCTTCTGCTTAATGAAGAGACGCAGCTTGTCCCTGAAGGTTTCTCCTAGAAAGCTGTAGATAATGGGATTGAGGCAGCTGTTGGAGAAAGCTGCCAGGTTAACAATGTGGCCTGTGAGTGGGTAGTCATGCCACAGGGTGGTAGCAGTCCTCTGTGACGGGTCAGCTGTGCCCTGCAGCAGCTGGATGCTGATGAAGACGTTCTCTGGCAGCCAGCAAATGAAGAACACCAGAACCACTACCACGATCATGCGCAAGGCCTTCTGCCGCCGTGGCCACAATCCACGGTGCTTCTGTGCCCTCATGAGGATTCGCCCAATCAGAGAGTAGCATAGACCAATGATGGAGAAGGGCACCAAAAAGCCAATGGTTACCTCCAGCCACTGAATCTCAAAGACATTGGCAAAGCAGAAGTGCACCTCACCCCTGTGCTGAGTTTGCACAATGGTGAAAGGGAGAAGGGTGGCCAGGATAGAGGCCATCCAAATGAGGCCACAGCTGAGCTTGGCGTGCTGCATAGTCCTCAGTGGGCTGCTGCTCATGGAGCTAGCCAAGGCAATGTATCGGTCGAAGCTCATCCATGTGAGGAAGAAGATGCTGCTGTACATGTTGACCTGCAGAAAAAGGGACATGAAGGTGCAGAGGACAGCGTAGTCATAATACTTCTCATTCAAATTGAAAACCTCAATGAGGGAATCTGCCACCAGGATGAGGTCAGCTACAGCCAGGTTAACAAAGTAAAGGTCTGGGATGGTCATCTTCTCTCTGTGGTTCAGGTTCACCACCAGGATTAAGATGTTACCAATAAATCCAATAGGAAAGAGGAGAATGGTGTACAGGCAGGACAGGAAGAGACCAATAATGTAAGATTGGTATTTGTCTGATTCTTCAGTCAAATATGTTGCGTTGTACTCATATGAAGTGTTCAGTTGTTCTGTACTGTTTACATATATCCAGACCAGAGAGGTTGTCTGCACTTCCATACTGACTGTGGTTGGACTGTCTTGAATCATAGGCCACATGTAAGTCACCTGTACCTGCTACATCATTAGACCCTGTTAGTTCCCAGTTGTGTCTCTTTAAAAGGTAAATCATCTATGCTGTGTTTGCATGCTGACAGAAGTCAGGTGCATGGGAACACAATGGTTACGGTTTGTTTGACCCCATGTTGACATCAAGGTTCATCAGTACCAATAGATTCCAGACACAGGATAGAAGCACCTCCATGTCTTAAAATTGTCTTTGGCTGGCTTTTCTAACCTGATGACTCACATTATCCAGACTGTCCAAACTGTGGTTCTGAGATTAGAAGGCGGACCTCTCCTCTTTTGAGTCATCTGATTTGAGTGCTGCTTTGTCTCTCCAAATCCATGTGCATCTTTATTCAGCGAGCCTTGGCCAGGGACGCTATTACTGTGACACCTGAGCTGTGGTGAGGAGTGAAGGAAAAAAAATAGCACATTAAAGAGAATTAGGTTCACATACTTAAAAAAACAACAATCTTGTGCAGTTAAATGAGAATAACTAAGAAGTATAGCACTTTTTATTTATTACTAAAAACTGAAAATTCTTAATATCAAGTATGAAAAAGGCAAAAGTCCAGTTTGGTCAGAGAAGGGTTCTAAACTGGATAGCAAACAACTAAGTATGCACATTAACATTCAAGCTTCAGACTTAAACAGATGCATTGAAATCCTCCTTAGAAATCCTCAGCCAATCCAAGCTTACTCATTTGTCCAGACGTGATGACTATTAATTGCAGAGATGAAAACATATTTGTCATTAACATTTAAAAAACCTCTGTGTGAAGCTCTCTGTTTTGATAGCACACAAATAATGTATTAAACACAAAATCTATGTTTTATATGCTTTGGAAGCTTGTATATTACTAGCTACCCTCTTCCTTAGTTGATAATTTTCAGGCCCAAAATCTCAGACATTCTGTTCTGCAAACATGACCTTTAGCAAACATTCACAGCCCTTAGGGTTTCCACCAGAGGAAGCCTACTTCAATTTGAATGCATTCTTAATGACAGCAGTAATTCAGCACATAAATGGCTCTGCATATAGATCGTACAGAGACATTTTCTGCCATAGTTTTTCAAATCATTGCTTTAAAGCATATTCTCCAATAAGTAAACAATCATTATCACAACATGAGTGGCGTACTGCCTTTTCTTTCTAATTTTCAGGAAGAGTTCAAAATCACACATGAAACAATAAGAACAATGATCTTAACAAGTCTCATGACACATCTAAGCTCACATAATTCTAAAAAAAAATTTGAGAAATGATCTTTACACGAAAACATCAGTTCACTCTATTTGATATATGATTCCTGAGTTATCCTTTTATAATACTGGGATAGGAAACAGTTGTTCTGTTCGGCTGATTTTCCACCAAAATCAGTGAGACCGTAGATCATGTAGAAGTGCTCTCCAAGAAACTACTATCAGCCACTCCAGACATATAGAGAGCAAGATAAAGAGCGAGTTGATGACATAATGTACAACTCATTATGCAGCAAGATTCACAAGACAGGAGGGAATGCCCCCAATTACAGTTTAACAGACACCATATTATGTAAGTTTAAAGTAACAAATACAACATAGTTAGTATATCACCTGTAATTTCTAACCCTAACCCTAACCCACTGTAAACTGTCTTTGCTTTTTAAGACACTACTTGAAATTGACATAAAACACATAAAGCACTATTAAATAGCCACCAATCGTAGCAAATACATGGGAATCAAAAGCAGCCCTTACTTTTTAAAATTTGGGATTTGATGTTCCTCCATGCTTGTCCGGTGCAGAAGTCAGAGAGACACAGATTTGTAAATCCCATGTCCGGGCTTCTCTTCTGCACCACCTGCTGTTTGGCCCAACCCTGTCTGGAGAGGAGAGGAGGGTGGGAGAGACAGAAAGGCAAGAGATGATCTGTCACCCATGGTTTGTCACCATGCTTCATCAGATTCCCTTTTCTCTGCCTCCTTTTTTTTTTGCCCAGTTTGTGATTCCAGGTGTCTGCTGGGTATCTAAAAAGATCCAGTAACTGAACTGACTGAGAGCTGTTTTTAACACAAAGGAAAGTTTAAACAGCAAATAAGTAGAGTGTGGAGTTTGCCTCAACCAGGTTGTGTTGTTATGGAAACCACTTATACTGTATTTTTTGCAGTATTTGATCACCTGGGTTGTCAGGCTCTTAGTCTTAAGGGCCATGTAAACACACTGCTCATGACCTCTCAGTTTTTCCATCAATATGTTTGTAAAATAGTTTGCCTACTGTTCTGTATCGATTATTGATTTTCACTAACAACAAAAGACACTGACCCTTGCTTATTCAATGTTTCATTCTCTATACTACAATTACATTCAGATAAAGCTTAACTTAAAAACTGGTGAGCCTTCACTTTCAGTAAGGGGGAAACAGAACAGACTCTTTGCTCCTGGGTAAGGAGTAACATTAATGTAATTTGAACTAATCTGTGTCCAAACTGTGACTATGGAGACCTATTTGATGTGATGTTGGCTAGTGATGTGTCTAGTGGGATGCATTAACTGCAGATGCCTGCAATAATTGCAGACATACAATAACCATCTGCTACAACAGTGCTATAGATATATATTGAAATAGATCAGACTGCTTCATATCAAATCATAGTTGTAAAACTAAATCATCTTTAAAAAAAATATTATTATTATTGCTTTAATTGACCCCTACATTATCTATTGATATCATAGGCCTGCCATGATTAAAGTGCATTTATTCCCAAATGATCAGTATGCAGCTGCAAAAACAGCAGTGGGGGGAATCACTCTGGACTCCGCATATAAGGAAAGGGTCCATGTTCCATGACAACAAGAATTTTCAGTTTCTACAGAAGGCAGATTGTGACTCTGAGGTCTTTGAAAGGTGGGAAGGTCCCTTCATCCAAAGACAGCCAGAGGGGAAAGAAAAGGCAAGGCCAAGGCTGGATTACTGCCTGGAGGTATGGGGTTGCAGCTCCTTTGGCAGCGCTGCACCAGCTCCAGGGCTTTGAATGTGATACGAACAACAACAGAAAGCCAGTGGAGTGCATTCGTCAGGGGTCTGAAAACAAAACAGGTCACAGCTCTCAAGCTTGAACATGGTGGATAAAGTTCTTGGTATAATGGGGTACAATTTAGGATTTACTGATTGCAGAAACAGATTTTGAAAGTTTTAAAAGTCAAGACACTGCTGCTCTTTGGCAGAAGAATTGCTATATTGAGCTGGTGTGTGCATCAATAAAAAAAATAATACATGCGACACACATTGCATACTCTGCTTGCTTCTGTATATATCCAATACAGCCTTGCAATAAAGTGGCCTATTTATACCCTACCCAATCAGTTGCTCTGCGGCTGCTCATGTATTGTAGCATTTTACCAATAGTCCAGTCAGGTTGCTTTAAGACATTTTAATAGAGGAAGAATAATTTTTTTATTGTCTCCCGCCCTGCAGTAGACAAATTGGCACCGTGCAATCTCTTGTTTGAGGGTCTGCTTCTAGGAAGCCGGGTGTCACTGCCGCACTTCAACATGCTAGGTAACCTATTTGCTTGTACTAACCTGCATATCACAAGGTGAGGTTTTGGCTTACTGCTCTTAATGCTCTCAGTATCTCACAAGCAGATAGAGAGGGGCACAAGAATATATTCACTCTCCTGTTTAGCTCTCTAGAGTAGCAAAGACATGGAACATCTCGGGACTCGTAGTGCTGAAGGTAGGACAAAGAAAGACAAGGGGGACTGAGGGAAGAGTTAGAAAGCTATTTTGTGTAGAGTTATTCAGTGACATAGAGGAGCACACACTCTGCCTTGAAACCAGAATAGCTAAGGGCTCACAGTTAGTATGTTTAAGCTTGAAAAAGTGAAGGCATCATCTTACAGATTGGTTAAGCGCTGGTTTCATCTTGGAGAAGTGAAGTACCTCTTGCTGATTTGAGTGCAGATGACACACCGCCTCATGTCTTGGAAAAGCTGATTTTGGTAGTCAGGAAATGGCGCAGCAGAGCAGCAGTGATGGTCTGAGGGAGCCGACAGGGTCAATACGGCAGCTGGTAGCCCTGCTGGCACAAACAAGTTTGGGTTTTTGACAAGAAAAGGGACAGCAGAGAGCAGTTTCTGTGGGTTAGAAGAAGAGGATTTTAGATGTAGTAGAAAGTTGATTCAGCTCCTGAGATGAAGAAAGGAGAGAGCAGACAATCTGAGAGGTCATACAGCAAGCCAGATTTGTGCAATTTTCTCTCAGCTACCTGAAATCTCAGTTATTCAGTTCGCATGACTACACACAGATAAGGGGAAAGTGGGGATGTAGAGGTCAGTCTAGTGGAAATGTGCTAGAGACTGTCAAAGAGAGGAGAGGAGAGAAGAAAGGGAAAGTGTGCATATTTCCCTGAATAGTGATGACATGAAATGAGACCAAGGTAAAAAAGTGTTAAACAAATGCACCACTCAGAGACATAGACATACATGTGCTGCACTTCTGGTTAGATGCTTAACTACATTTGGTTGTCTAATTGTACTTTGTGCAATGACAATAAAGTTGAATCCAATCTAATCTTATCTAATCTAATGTTTCAGACAAATAAACTATATGTGATAGCACTGTTTAAAGCTCAGTGGAGCAGACTTGGTGCATATGTCATAATAACCCTTCCCAAAGGCTGCCATAATAGGCTTAAAAGAGGAGTTGTGACATTGACTGATTCTAAGATTTCTCTGGACTATAAAGCACTTCCAAGGAACTGATTAAGTAAGGTAACGTAAGTTTAAGTAAACAGCGAACCTCATCTGGTAAATGTACTTCCAAGACTAGCTTCCAGAAAAAGGATCTTGCATGTGCTAACAATGGCTGGAGTTATGTGTGATGGCAAAGGGTGATATAAACAACTTGAAGAAATAGTGAGGTGTGTTGTAGCAAAATTATTTATAGTGAATGGTTGTTCTGTTTTATGTCTTTCTCTGTCAGTTACAAGGCTGAAATAAGTAAGCATGTCAATCTTAAACTGGCCTCGAGTTTTGCGTCTTTGCTGCTCTGAATTTACACATTGTCCTTCAACTACTTCCTGTGTGAGAGCTATTACTTTGCTGAGGCTTGTGAGAGAGGATGCATTCCCTGTTGATGTCCACTGGGTGGCCCACTGGCATAAAAAATCTAATGTTTGACAGTTCGAAGAAAATATGAACATGACTGCACAAGCTTTGGCTGACAAAAAGAAATGACTGATTGACGGATGACTGATGTGGTGAAGAGGATGGTTTAAAGAAGTTATTGACTCTGCACCAAAATACATTAACAGGTGAGAGCATTATGCTGGATTTAGCATTCTAAATCATTCAAAGAGGATGAGAGCTAAGTAATTGAATTATACGGTAAATGACAAGGAGAATTTAATGTTTGCTTTGGTCTTGGTATTTTATTATGATAACCATGAAATCATACCATAACTGTGAAAACATATTATAGTAACTTTTGTTTTCTTGTACATGTAAATGAAAAGGAAAACAATAGTTCCCATCCAATGACATCTAATGAAAAAGACAACATTACCGGTGCTGTTAATGGGGAGTTGTGGGGTTTAACTGCTTGTGGTTGAGGGAGTGAAAGTGGGAGGTCTAGAGGAAGGAGGCTACAACACCCTCATCTGCCTCCACTTACCAGTCTGATGTGCTTCTGGCTCCATCCAACATCTCCCACAGCCACAACCACAACCTCTGAATGGAACATCGTGCACAGTCCAGCTCATTTGCACTGCTTCCAGGGCCATGTTTGATATTTAGTTAATGCTGGGATTTTATTGTAAGATTACTTACTTTTTACTTTTTTTTTATTCTCTGCTCCCATTTCTGAAGAGGAAAAGCAAAGAACAGGATTGGCAGGGTGGATTGTTTTAAAAGCACATGCCCTGGTCCACTTGTCTCCCCAGAGCTGAAGAGATGTGGTGGGTCAAAGATGAAGGCTCCTTCCTGCAGTCTCTGCTCTGAGCTGTATGATTCATATGGTGGCAGCTTTCAAATATGTCAGCATGAGGACCACATCTGAAAAGAGCTACAGCTTTGTTATTCTATTCACCAATCAATCACAGGAGTATGTGCTATACAGGACAAAAATCTAGTGTTTTTTTTAAAATCTGTTTTATCTGCTCGTGGCTTAATCCAATTTGGGATCAAAACCAGCTTTGCTTTATGGCATGTTGTCTTTTCTATTTTATCTTGTTATATCTTCTTTGCGTTGAGTCACTTCCCCTATTCTCTTTTCAGCGTGTAGTCTATTTTTGTATCTGTTTTGTTATATGAATATTATTCAGTCTCTAGGGTCTGTCACTTTCACTCTCTTCTGGTAGGTTGGCTCAAGTATTCAATATTTTGTACCACTGTTGCCCTCTTTCTGACACTCTGGATCAGCGTGAGATAGTTTTCTATAATACTAACTGTAACTTGTCTTGTCTAGCCTTTACATTCTGCAGCTCAATTTAACCCACATTATGAAAAACAACTGTGGTCTAGAGGTGTGTGTGAAACCTGGTTGACAGCCAGATAAAACATTTAAAGCCACAAGCCAAATGTTCTGGCTACATAGGTGGTCTGATGTGCGATGCTGTATGTTTGACTGAAGTTGACCCTAATACTTTTGGTCTAGCTGCACCTCTAAAGGAGAAAAACAGCATTAAGACTAATGTAGCACATTCAAAACTGTGCTTTGTCAGCGTTAACCCTGTTTCCTGTTGCTTGTACAGTTAAGAGCTTTTCCTGGTCTACTTCGACTCAGTGCAACCTGAGGAGTTCACTTTGACTACATGCATGATTTTGTGTGTGTCAGTTTTAAGAGTTTTGAGATGGGTCTGATTACAGCCGTGACACACACTCTCATGATCGTAGGGTACAAGAATGCCCACTTTTTCTTCTTCTCTGCTTTGCATTCTTTTTGGCCAATTCTTTGGCCATCAAGGGCCATAACCCAATAAAATACTTTCCTGCAGGTGTATTACCGAGCAAAATATAAATTGGACAGCAGTGTTTGCCAAACTGATGATGAATCCTAACATAGTGATAAAATAGTTGGCACCTTAAATAATTCAAAGTGTGTAATAAAAACTTTGTGTAAAATTTTGTTACTGGTGCATTTGCAGTCAAATGTCCTACTTTTTCATCTGTATTACATTTTAGAAAAACACCCCTCTTGCATCATTAGCTTCCTGTTCTTTAAAAAAAGGAAAAGTAGCACATAAATACAGATGGTAAATACACTGACGTACTGGTGAATTGTGTTCTTTGTGTTGTTCGCTTGAGCTAATAGAATCAAGTGAAAGCCCCATGAAACTCCAGTCCTCAGAGGGGGAAATGGCAACCATGACAACCATGTTCAATTCACTCCATTATCATATCATTTCCAGATGTAGTACTGTAATTCAGACCTCCCCCTCCTCCTGCTGGACCTCTTATGATTGCTCTTTTTTTTTCTCCTCTAAAGATGTTGTAAATACATACACTATTGTGCAATCCAATGTTGTTACTGTTGCTGGGTCTAATGTAAGAAATGAACAGTGTAGTACTGACAACAGCTGATGCATTATGATTACTCCTCCCTGTAATATGACACCTTACCTCAGTCTGTTGAGCTTTAATTGTAACCTAATTATAAAGTTTGATTTTCATAGTGATCCATCACTTCATCAACTCAATCCTGCTAGCTTCCTGTTGCAGCACTTTCCCCCCCAGCTCCAACTTGCAGGCTGTCACACAGCTCTCAGTGTGCAGCGTTGTTATCAGATGTAGCCTACACACAACATTGTTTTCATTAAGAATGGCAACAGTATTGGACTGTCAGACCCACAGAACACAAACCAATTCCCAGAATGCCTGGAATGTTGTCTGAGTGGCGTGGTTGAAGGGTCTCGCCACAAGCAATCTGCTGTTAGCAGCGTGGTGAGCAGGAGGAGAGCTGTGGCATCCTTCCTCACTCCCATTGTCACAGCAGCTCAGATGGAGGGAAGAACCTCCACAACCTGCCAATCATCCTGACCTGATCATATGATTAGAGGGTTGAAGAGCTAGAATAAACAGTACTTTGTTTTCAGTCATTTTCAAATAAAAAAGTAAAATAATTTAAGTATTTTTCCATTTCAAGGGGACATTTTGGGGACAAAGCACAAATTCCAAAGTCTCTTCCATTGATACTTGTCATATTTGGTTAACTTGATACAAGAACCAAGATGCTTGGAACTAATTATACCAAAAAACCTTTCAACAACAGAATGCATAGCAGATGTCTTAACATACGGTATTTTCACATTATCATAAGTATTGTCAGATATAATTGACATAAGAAGCAGTGATATCCTTGTTAGTTTATTGTTTAATCAGTCTTTGACTCAGTTGACAATAGAGTAGATTACTTACAGAATCTAAATATATCTCTCAGAAAATAATACTGTGTTTTTTAAAGAGCATGGTATCTTCCTGTAAATCTCTCACATACAATATATACACATTATTATACACATACACTTGCATACACAGTCACAAAAGCATCACATCTGAACGTGGATTCATCTGGACTTCTGAGGTTTTGCTGTTCAAATAGCTGAATTGCATCTGCATACAGTTGACACACAAGAACTTTGAGGGTGTTTTTATACGTGGTCTGTTTCAGCAATTTAACTAAACTCAAGTTTCTCCGCACTGGTGTGAGATTATGGCCCCTCTGAAATAATAAACCAAAGTCAGTCTTCAGCAGTAATCGGACTTGGGTATAATTTTAGGCCCAATTTGATCAAGCTTTATTTGCCAGTTGTCTGCATCGTGCAGTCAGTCAATTTGTGGTGACCGCTAACTATTACCCCTGCCAAGGAGTTTGTTTTAGGACCTGTCTCTAACTTAAAATGGCTAAATGGATTTTAGTGAAATTTGGTGAAAAGTCAGGGCATGGGAAGAAAGAAAACTGATTAGATTAGTGTTAGAAGTGAGGCCTTCTTTGTGTAATTGCAACCAAATTTAAATGGCACATGCACATATCAACTCCAAGTTAAATGACTGCTGCGTTAACTGGTCATAGCTCCTAATTTAGCTATTCTCCAAAAATCCACCCAGTTGTCATTTACTTAAGAAGTTTGATGATGATTCAGATACAGACTGAAATTTACCATCAAAATAACAGATACTGAGTGCCTTCCAGTTGGATGTCTCATTAGAAACATAAAGGTAAAATTGACATACATTTTATTGACATTAACTTCATAAAATCACCAATGGCAACATGTTCTGCTGTCACATAATCAGACAATATTCAAACATTCAATTCTATTCATTATAATTCAAGTGCTTATTGATTAAATAATAGTTGGAGTTTTGGTCAAAATAAACGTAGACACAACTGCAATGTCTGACAGTATATAGTAAACCAATTCAGGGCTGAAAATGGACACCACCTTAAGAAATGTTGCTTAAATGTCAAAAATCAGACAGTCACAAGCTTCAATTCAAACCCTGTATCATTTGACCATATATGCACTATTGTTTGCCTTCCAATGCTAAATGTAACAGTAAGCAGTGGGACTTTGAACTGAGTTCAAATAATGATTAACTGTGTCACGATACGTACAAGCTTGTTTTATGGGGTGGCAAATACTGTAGCACATGATATAAACACACAGCCTCAGTTGAAAATAAACATTACTTCTCACGGTAGATACACATAACGAGGGTGGGACGATGCAGCGAAAATTAAAATGTTGGACACTGTTTCATACATCAACCATAGACAAGCAATATCTCTAGTCACAAGATGTTTAAAAAATACAGTAGGTGTATGTTTGATATAATGTTATAATCTTAATAATAATTTCATATATGTATGAAAAGCATCAACGCTGTTTTAGTACATCTGGCAAAACTTCAAATTTTGCAGTGAAAGCCAAGCAGACTTGCAGAAACAGCCCAGCAGGTCAAAATTAACATACAATTGTTTATCTTAAGGTGTAAATTACAAAGAAAGGTGACTATCATTTATTGTTGTCTGAGAGTTGAATATAACAGTGTGCCCACCTTCCATTTCTCTTCAAGTGAATGCCCCGCCCAGCTGGTGCATCTGTTCACAGGATGATTTATAAACTGGCCCTCTCATTCAGAAAGCAAAAAAACAAAAACAAAAACAACTAAACTAATGCAGTGACGCAACAGACCTCACGCAAAAGCAAGTTGAAGTTTATAACTGGGCTTTATCACTATTAGTCTGTTCTCTTTTCACTAAATTCCAGGCAAGAAAGCAAAGCAGCTTTGCCAACAATATGCAGATTACCTTAATGCATCTGAGCAGCATTACAGTTCAAACTCTGTGACAAACACAGTTTTCAGGTACTTGGCAGGCAAGTGTTTTATAGTTTATGAAGGTTTCTGATAGTGCCTCTAGAGTGACCCAGACAGGCTTCATATTTCCACTGGACAAACCCTCCCTACCGCTCATGAATGCTCATACAATTTAGGGAATGTACATGCCACTTCCTCAGGGCCCTCTCTGTGACCTTGGGGCGGGGGGGGAACCTGACTGACACTATGTGAGGCTCTTCATGCATAATTCCTGCAGAAGCAATACACAGCTTAACAAATCACATACTGAGTTGAGGCCATCTGCTCAAATGAATGAATGAGTTGATTTGAACCACTTATGGTTAACAGGTGATGTGATTTCAGCAGAGATCACAAGAGGTATACCGGTTATGGATGAACCCTGAATACAAGCTTTATATAAGGATTTCATGTAGTTGTGTGACTTGTGGTATGGATGTATAGTTTACATAATGTATTTGTTGTGGAGCTTATAACATATGCAAGAATAATCTCTTTATACCTGTGAGTGGATACCTTAGGACATTTTTTAAAAAATGAACTGAGAACATCTCTTCATACCAGTAGCTACATCTAACTACAGGGTAGTACGGGTATCGAGAAAGAAAACAGCTTTTGAAATGAAGCTACAATTTCTGAAAGAGCATACATTTTGTATTCCACCTTTTAAATGTGAAGATTATTTAACGTGATAATGAGGAATCACTCTCAACACATTTGAGTAAAAAGAAAATGCAGCTCTGAAAAGGTAGAACTGTCAAGTGATCAATTGTCTAGTTTGAGGGCAGTAAACACTGATGGTCACAGGCAGCGTGAAGCATTGCTGACACACAGTGCAAGTTTACTGGCTGTGGTGGGTTGTTGATGTATCAGCCACCATCCATCACTTGATAAATAAAGTTTATAGCTTACTGCTTGTTGTTCTGCTTATGTATTATGCATCAATTGTAAATTATTCTTAAATTGTATCTAGTAGCATATTGCGACTAAAGTGAAATTTAGGCAGTCATGGATTGGTCAAACTTGCACACTCTGTCAGCACAGTATTCATAAACACCGCTGTTATCAGGAAAGCTGCTCCCACTGAGATGGCGTAGTGACTGGCCGTCCAAGGATATTTATAAACAGGATATTTTGTGTGTTTGTCTTAACGGTACTTATCAGCTGATTGTGCCGATTTACAGCCCTCAAAATAGAAGTAGAGGAGAACTTCACGTGTTGACAAAAAATAACAGCACTTAGTGGTTTTTGCTTGGTTTGTCCTCTCGCTGCAGAACTGGATAGATCAGATCAAGTTCTGAAGGTGACAGGAAATTCCACAGTTAGCTACGTCGCTCTTAACACAGTCCAGAGCAGTCCGGGAGCTCAGTCAGATACTGGCTCTGTAGGGGGGAGATAAGTGCCGGCTAGGTCGAGAGGTGGAAAAGGGGGAGTGGGAGGGGCGCCAGTAATCTCCCGGTGGGAGATCTCACGTCACTACTTGCTGCACTGTTGAGCGTTCATGAGGGCAGGACTGGTCTCCACAGCGCAGCCTCCTGAGCAGCCGCTGAAGCTTGTTGGAGAAGTTTTTGTTCATCTGCCTATACATGAGAGGCATTGCAAAGCTGCTAGAGAAAGCCAGCAGTTTAGACACACATCTTAAGAAATAATAGGTAGGTAAGTAGTGTGCATTGTTAATGTACCCTGGTGCACCGGCTACAGTGTGTACCAACAAGGTCATGTAGTATGGGGTCCACAGTACAAACTGCACACAGACTGAGGCTAGCAGCAGTCTGTGGATAGAAGGGTCCAAGCGAGCGGAGTCCTGATCCAGAGGTGTAGACTCCTTCCTAATGCGCAAAATGAGTACAAAGGCATAAAGAACAGCCACAGCTGGAACCACGTAGCCAATGAACATCATGATGGCATCTGCTGCCTCCTTGTTCTGCATTTTAGAGCACTCAACCATCTTAGTGGAGATGTGGTTGCACACATAGAAGAGCAATGAAGAGAAGCTAGTGAGCACCGCCCCACCCCAGATGAACCCACAAACATGTTTGGTGTTATACACACTGGACATGTACGTACGAGGCAGGGCCCGCTCTATATAGTAGTCCAGACTGAGCAGCGTGGTGGAATACATGATGACCAGAGAGGAAATGTTGAAGAGAATGAGCAGGGTAATGTAGACCTCGTTGTTGTACTCCCATGCATGCCAGCGGGTGAAGGTGGAGCTTAGCAGCTCCACAGGCGCCACCAGATTGAGCACGAGGCCTGCTATGGCCATGTTGACAAAATAAACATCCGGCATGGTCATGGACACCTTGTTGGAGAGGTTGACCACGACCAGCAGCGCATTGTAGCACAGCCCCAATGGAAAGCACACCAGGAGGTAGATGAGGGAGAAGACCGACAGGATGAGGCCATAGTCCTGGCAGAGCTGGAAGTCAACGCTGGTGTCCGTCTCATTGTAAACCATGCAGATCCACATTGCTGGGCTCTGACACAGGTCACGTCTTTCAACAGGTCGACTGCAGAGTTAGGGAGAAAGAAGTTAGTTACTGCACTGATAATAAATGTTACAGTTGATATCAATTACCAGTAATAACTAAAGCTGGGTGATATTGACAAAAATCTAATATTGTGATATGTTTCACATAGGTTGTAAGAATGACTAATCAAGTTCAGAACAAACAAAAAAACATTGCGAGAGAACATTTTCATCCATGAGCAGAATTCAACCCTCTCTGTTTCTGACGCCTGTGCTGACTAGAGGAGCAAGCAAGTCCTTGACACGAAAACACGTCATCCACGGCACAGCTATTATGCCCTCGGTAACACTGTTAATTTCACTTCACTGCATCTGACTGGCTGAATACAAGCGCCTCACAATATGTTTCATTTGCTAGCTCAGCCACAAAACCCAGCCACACTGACCAGAGCAAGTGTTTGACGCCTCGGCAAGATTTTGCTGTCTTTTCTCTGTATCTATCTCTTTCTTTGTCAAAGTCACATGCAGGGGCATTGCTGCCTGTGCTGTGCTGCCCTTGTGATTTTCACATGTTCAAGCAGCGACATAAACCTTTCCCGCCTAACGCTGTTTTCATGTTACTGCAGTGAGTAAAGGACATGCACCTTCTGTTCAGGTTACTGCCAAGCTGACTGGGGGTTGGGCACATGGGTGATGGGTAGATTTATAAAGAGTGAAATGTGAGGCAGGCCCCGGTGAAGGGTCAGTGAGGGCCGAGTTGAGGGGTTGGAGTTCAGGGCAAGGTCAAAGAAAATGACCATGCACATGTCGGGACCGTTTGTGATCAAGCCTGATGGGGCTGCAAGTTTTCAAAAAGCTTACGTAATGCTGCCTTGCATAATTGATTCAGGTCATTTTAAATAAATTATTCAAATAGCCTTGGTTAAGGAAAAAGAAGATCAAGAGGCTATCGCAGGATTGCAATGATAAGTCACACAAGGTCACTGTATTTTACTTCCTCTGTGATAATTTAGCTGTTATGCTTCCACGTTTGGCTTCCTTCCCAAAGCAGTTTTAAAAGGAATTCTGCACAACTTTCTGGAACAAAGCACAGGAAGGCAGTTTTGCTTTCAGGGGAATGAGTAACAATGCCAGTAAAGGGAAAAGATTCTTCCGTTCACTTACGTAACACCACTACAGAGGGGCTGTTTTGGCCGTAAGTCTCAGACAGAGACCCATATACACACACAAGGGCTTAGTCCCTCCTCTATACTAATCCAATTGGCTGTAATGAGACTATAGTAGAGGCTGGAGCTCAGAGCTGGACTGGAACAGGATCAGGAGGACCAAAGTGTAGAGTTACTTTTAACAAAAAAACCTGTCTTCACCAAGACAGCAGCGCTGGTCTGACCTCTCTTAAACATAGCTCTCCTAACACAAGCTGCTAGGTGACTCATTTACTAAAACGGGCCTTGACAAAAGTACATAATTAGCTCTGATCCTCTCCCATAAATTACCAGTATGTGCTCTTTTCAGAATGTATTGTAGATGTAGTGTGTTCATTGTACACTCCTTCAACAACCTCTGATCATTTAAGAAGAAAATGACTTTAAGAGAAGTTGGTGAAAATGAAAGAGAGCACACCGCATTGTGGCTGGCTGTCTCCATTCATTAGCACCTGCTGTATTCTGACATTTTAGCACCTCATTCATTACCACGTTGGCTAACTCTGTACCTTACAATAGCTGCAAGGTACCTGAAATTCTGCCTAAAAGAAGTCATGACTTTGTGGTACACTGGTGATAAATTACTTAAACTGTTGAACTAGTTTCAAAAGACATTGTTTCCTGTAGCCAGTATACACCTAGTATTTGACACAAGACCTTGACAATGACAAACCAATGATAAAATAGATGAGAACTAATGCCATGGCCCTTATATTGCGCAGCAGAATGAAGGAAAACAGTGAGAGCAGAAACATAGGGATTTACTACATTTACCTACTGGAAGTGACAGTTATGTATAATATAAATCAATTTTTACTTATATTATTATATAATGTATTTTGTTTCCTGCTTAACCATCAGGCCTTTATAAAATCAGACCCCATGATTTCACTTAACAAGGCCAAACCAATCAATATAGTCCTAAGAAATAATGAAAATGATCAATATCTGCAGCCCTGACGGCAAGGAATAACACACACTTGCTCATAATTGGATGATAAACTGAGAATGTACTGAATGTACCAACATTATTACAGGAGGTGTCCAATGTTTATGCACACACATGCATAAGTTATGCAGATACCCTTAAATACAAGAAAGATCACCATTTGTATTTAATACAGCATGGATACAAATGTATTGCTACGTTTATATATGAGAATAAAATGGTAAATAGACTGTACTTTAATAGTGCCTTTTCTAGTCGTCTGACCACTCAAAGCGCGATACACTACATTTCACATTCACTCATTCATTCAAAACCAGGAGAAATATGGCTTCTTCCAAGCTGATTCCCGTAAAGGTGAAGACAACATGAAGAAAAATCTTGTTGAGTTGAGTTCTTCTTGCATGACTTTGACTGCAGATGTACACTTGGTTAAGCCCCATCTGAACTTTTTGTGCTACTCCATGTCAAAAGTGGTTAAATTAAATATTCCCGGAGGGGGAGGCCCTGCTGCAGCATGCTTTAGCCCCACTAAACATGATCTCGTAAGAGTGACGCCCACGTGCTTGGCGTCTCTGCGTTTTGAAGCCAGGTCTCACAGGCTGATGGGAGTAGTGTGACATACTGGGCCCACACCCCTCATATATCCTTACTGGAATTTACAGGCTCTTCTCAGAAAGTAGAAAGAGTGATGTCACATGATTCGCTACTCACGTCTGCAGCAGAGCAGCAACAGAAATACTACAGGAGGAAAATAAGATTACATGACTCACATTTACACATGTTGTGACTGTGCGGCAATGTGATCTATAAACACAATGACATTTGATGCACAAAGTTTACTATAATTGACGGAGTATGATTTAAAGTAACTGGCCACAGAACTACCAAACTACTCACAGTATGAGATCTCATTAACATATAATGGGTTCATTTAAAAAAGCCCCTAAATCTTCTCTGGTTCCCTTCTTGTGTGTTTCTCAGCTGCCTATTATTCTTGGAAAGCAGCCCATTAACTGAGAGTATTAATGAGGGATCTGACTTCAGGTGCATGCTAATGCTGCATAACATTTCGCAAATTAAAATTACTAAGCTCTCAGAGGTGATTAAAATACATGCCACCAAGTCCATTTCTGTGGAAGGGGTTTTATATAATTCTGAGCATTTTCCCTAGAACATTATCAGTCTCCAGAGAACTGAGTCACAGTGACTGATTTTTTTGTGGGCAAGATAACTTGGAATGGATTCCTTCTACATGTACATAGAGGTTTTGAACATTGTCTGTTTGACCAAGTGATAACTCGCTCAAATCAGGTTTTAGTGAAAGAGATGCTGGTTAAGCACAGGTCACGGTCAGACTTGACGGCTTTCTTACCATGTTTTCTGCAACATGTTGAACCGGCACAGGCGTCAACAAAGTCAGAGTTCAATGATCAGCACAAAGCAGGCTTACTGCCATTAAGCCATAGCACACATGCATGTCCCCCTCTGTCACATGGATGAAGTTGACGACAACAAGTGCAAAGCCTAAATCTCCAGAAGCATTTAATTTGGTGAGCGGTAAGACTAAGACAGAACTACTTTGTCAGGAAGTAGCATTCACTCAGTCTCCTAGTTGATCTGAAGTATGGTCAGGTGGATATATAATATCTGTTATTAAATTAGTGGCTTTAAAAGCCAATCAAAAGCTTTAATATAATTTATCAAAACAAATATTATACATATACAAAGAAAATATATTAATCTGCCTGTTTATATAAGAATACGTATAAGAATATATGAATGATCACAAGACTTAAACACACACACACACACACACACACACACACACACACACACATCAATATGAAGTAGTAATTACTAATTACTCATTTAATTGAATGTATTAGTAGTGTATTAGTTAAGTTACTGATTCAGTAATCAGGGCTGCCTTGATCTTGCCTTACACTATAAACATGGTTAAATGAACAGACACTATGACATCCCATTAGCTGTAGGTCCCGAAGGCAGATGTCATTTCAACATATGGGCTATTCTTAGGAAGTCTACAACAACTTTTAAAACTACACTTATCATTGCCAGTGAAGGAGCTTTTCAACAAGGCCTCTGATTAAACTGATACAACTTTTTCCCAGCACTTGAGAAAGGTGATCCCGTGAGAAACGTCTTCAGGTGTTGTTTTCCAAACATAAACGGCTCGTTAAAACGCTGGAGCTACAACAGCTGAACAAAGGTAAGAGAACAAACCATCCTATCGTGGTCTGTATATTTATTATTGCAGACACTGTGTCTCTCCATCACACTTGACTGCACAGATCAAAGCGTGGATAACTGTCACGGCTTCACCATTATTCTCCCATTTCTGCGGCTATTGTTGGCACAACTAAACTACTCACTCTCGCATCATCTCCCATCTCGCAGTGGGGCAAATTCACTTCTCTGCCGCTCTAAGGTCAAAATTTTACCGCAAACGCATCACATAAGTAGGTCAAAATAATACAACAGAGAGGAAAACTCACCAGAAACGTAACGTTATAGATTTGGGTCGGTGACAAACCTACGGAGGCATAGGGTTTGGATGTAGCATTTCCACTGGCATTTCTCAGTCGTTTCATTTGACAAACAGACGTCCTAAAATACGCACTCCGGCTCTCCTCGCGCTCCCAATGCCTAAAACCAGCAAAAACAACCGCTTCCCTGCATGTCGGTGGAGATTGACTTCATCTATCAACTTTTCGGACGAGTAGTGTTCTGAAAAGGGGCCGTCCGTTTCAGACTTTACTACTGCTGGAGTGCTGCTGAGCCCTACAGTGTGTACACACGTGACCCTCCCCCACTGTCTCCTCGCTCCGCTCTCTGCTGCTGCTGCTGCTCTTCTACGGTCGCGAGGCCCGAATGCCCGTTCTCAGCTCTGATTGGACGGAGTGCAGGGAGGTGGGGCGCGAGGGAAACCAAGGGGAACACACACACACCCACCCACACGCACAGTCAAACACACGCACACACACACACACACACACACACACACACACACACACACACAAACTTTCCAGTTCATCAATATAGCAATTTATTGATTTGCCGAGTAAACATAATTATCAGTAATATATCCTAACTGGGGATTTTAACATTTATTGTGCTTCACTTAAAATCACAATAAGTGTTTCTACCTTAGCCTGAATCCAATAACCTCAAAGAAAAACATTAATTGGGTGCCCATAAGATTGAAACAAATTTTGATTATTCTAACCATTCCTCCTTTTCACTCATGAAGAGATCTGTTCCCAAAATCAATTTCAGTGTAAGTGATGGGGTACAAAATCCATATTCCTCACTCAGCAAATATGTTGTTGTTTTTTGTATTGGCCCCCATCATCTCCACTGAAAGTGCATTCAGAAGGGATCTCTTAATACACAGTATGATACTATTGTTTTCAGACAGACTTAACTGGTGATGATAGGTTCACAATTGTTTGTCTCTGTGATGTTTAACAATAAACATACGTTCAAAATAAAACCAGCCCTGCATTACAACAAATCAAAGGCTTGTGTTGGTGAAATTGTTTCAGGCTCCGGTGAGATGTAAAATATGATCCAGGAAGGCCAGAGGCAGAATAACGGTGGCTTTCTATTCTGATGAACATATGAGGAAAAGTTTATAATGAATCAGAGTAGATTACCACTTTGGAAAGTATTGAAATAAATACAGAATGTTAGAAAGATGAAATACCTTTGTGTTGTTCTGTTGACTGGAGCCCCATTAAGCAACTGAAGTTTGCTAAGAAGATTAAGGATTATGATGTAAATTCTTCTAACACATATCATAATCCTGACATGGAGAACAATGTTGTACAGCAGATGTTTCTAAGTATTAAATGTGTCCTGTTTGAACAGCAGCTGAGTTCACCATGGATTACTGTAGTATACAGATAATGATCCTAGTTAGTTAGGAACTGTTTTTTATTACAGTGCCTAAAGGCTGTAGTGTTTTATGACCAGACACATGCAAATTTTCTTGTTTTTCGCATGGGTTGCACATTCTCCATGTTGCATTTTGTGAAGCCTGACACCATATTTTATTTTAATAAGGGAAAAAATGGCAACAATTTCAAGGTCCCATACCGATACACAATCCTTACAGTACAGTATTAACTTTCAGTAGGTGCTGATGAGTCATACAGAGATAGCAAGTAAATGTCATGTTAGGTTTTATTGCAATTTTTTGCTGAAAAACCTAAAAAACTCATGTGATCATGGCTAAGCTCTCTCCGTGGACCTGAGATAACATGGCACATGCAGCATGGTAACATCAGGTCTTAATCAGTGCTCCACTGTGTGCAGATCCATCCCTTAATTTCCTGCTCAGCACCTAAGGGGAAGGAGGGATACAGCAACAAAGCCCTAAAGTGAAACCCTGAAGTCAGTGTTAAAAGAACCTGGAAGCAGGTATTTCATTAAACTCTTCAGAAATGTCCCCTTCAGCTCTCCTTGCAAGTAATGGATTAGTTCTAGTCCAGCAATAAAGTGAAAAACAGTAATGAAAGATTTTTGGAATGCACAGTTTCAAAACAAAATGCCCTGCCATGGCTCAGTGAGCGCACACAAGCTTTATAGAGTGTGTGTAGGAGTGGTGAACATAAGTCCCTTGTGCGGCTTTGAAAGAACTGAATAAGTATTCAAATGGAATAATTCACGAGCAACATATTTCATTGATCTTATATTTCAGAGTTTGCGTAACCAGAGTTCTTTTCAGTCCAAGTGATTCAGTTGTTAGCCTCTCCCTCAGTCAGATATATGTGTAAGAACTGTTAATTTGAAAAGATAGTGTGCAATCTGATAATTGACCCTTCAGGAAACTGTAACTCAAAATGTTCCCTGGCTGTAGGTATAATTCAAGTTAATCAGCCTAGTAAAAGCAGAGATATCTATGCTATAAAAAAAGACACTCCCTTTGTAACATTATCTTGAAAAGACACATTACAAAAAATGCACATTCCAGGACTAAAAAATCCCTCTGTAATATCAGTTTTCACAATATGGCAACAACAGGAGATAAGTGCAGTGGAAACATACAATCTTTCCTTTTGCATGTGTTATAGTGATCATTTATGCAAGAAGGAGTACTGCATCAGGCTTGAGTCTTAAATGTCAAGCGCTTCACTTTCTATAGCTGCATCGATGATGAAGCCAAATCAGAAGCAAGTACGAATAAAGAATACAATTCCAGCAGAGGAGTGGGGAGATATTCACTGAAGTATATTGATGGTGGTGAGGCTCTGTAGAATCTCCATTATACACTACATGGATGATACGACAATACTGATTACAACAACACTTTCTACCAACTAATGAGCTGCGACAAAATATTACTGTGAATGTGCCAGTATGACAGGTTTAGCAGCGTCAGATCTATAAGTCTGGTCAGCACACAGTAAGAGGCTTAGGGTAGTTTGGTTATTCAGGTTTAAACTGTTGCACTGTAGCATTTGCTAGGTTTTGACCATGTAGAAAGACAAGCATGGCCAGAATGCAGATGGGGAAAGTCAGGCAAATGACAACTGGATGGAAAATCACCAATGTCCTTCTTGTTCCTGGCCGGCTAGCCTTGATTTCTGTCTTTTATCTCTGCTTTTCAACTAATTGAGGCACATCAGTGGAAAAGCACTCATAGCTTTCTGATTCCTGCAACAGCATCACCCTGGAGACAGAGATTAGAGTTGTTCAAACAATTATACTGTTGACTGTGTTTCCTTATCAGATAAGACATCAGTCCATCACCATCCAGAATTTTCCATCTTCATTGTAGAATACGCACATTTCACTTCTGCAAGCTTTTGCAAATTGATTAAACTAATGGATTACGGAGATACACAGATACACAGTATATCTTGTCTTTTTTCTGGCCATGGATTACATTAAATGTTAGGTATCAGAGACATAATTTTTTTTTAATTTGTTTTCAATACCCAAGCAAGAGGAAACTCTTCGTCACTTACAGTTTCTGTCTGTCTGTGTGCGATGGTTGGGTGTTAATGCTATAATCCATCATGTTTCTCAATGTCGGATTAATTCTACTGTATATGCTTATGCACAACTTAAAGTTTTCTTTAGCTTGTATGATGTGCACTGCAAGCTGATCAGGTGTTTCCCAAAAAGAGCCACAAAAAACACAATTTCATGTTTCTTTCCAGTGATTCTGGCTTTAGTGCTTTGGTATATTTTCTTAATATATTTTCTTTTCTTTATTTTTAATCAATTAGATATGTATGTCATTGTGTTTATTAAACTAAAACAGTTTTTTTAATTGTTGATCGCAAATGTGGAGTAATGCTGGCTTGCGTGACAGTGCCTGTGATGTAGTCATTTACTGCAGCAGGGGAGAAAGTGAGTGTTAGTGTTAGGGGCAGAGTGGACCGTGGGTCTGAGGGACTAAATCACAGTTTATCCCCAATCAAGCTCTGAAATCTGCTCCTATTCTTGGAAGCCTCAGCACCACTGTAAGGCTCTGGTCTGCATTTACTTTCCCCTAAAGACTTTAGACTGCATGACGACATATGGCTTGTTTACAAATGAAAGTCTTTGGTTGGCCTCAGTCAGCCCTGGATGCATGTCAGCTGTTTGCACAGTCACTTTGGCACCAGATGGTCACAGACACATAATGTGAGTCTAATGATTAAACCACAGTGTCTGTGGGAACACTGAAATTATAAAACATTTCATCAGTTTAAGATTTTAAGTCTTGCCACAGTACTAGAGCTGTTCGTCTACTGAAAGATGATGTTGTCTGAAAGTTATGACCAATCGCAGCAGTGGACACACCTCAGTGCTTGTGTGTCTGACGTTTTGAATTTCTTTTGACTGTGGAGAATTACATGCACAGAAACAGAGGCAAACAGTGCAACACAGCAGCACAGTGCATGTTGTGCACATGCCTTTAAGCTCAGAGGCCTGGGAGTGCACATTAAGCTCATTAAGTCGGTGGTGGAGATTATGGTGTGTTGCAGGCCAGGCACCAGCGTCCAGTGGCTGGGATGTCTCCTCATGTTCAGATGTCAGGGAGGAGGTGGATAGATGAAGGTGGAAGTGCTCTTTCTAGTTACTATCAAGTTAACATTTCCAACTTGGGACACTGGACAGTATGAAGACGCCTTTTGCCTTCTAATAGAAATAACCAATTTAAATTAGATCTAATTTAAAACACACATTTTAATGATGGAAATCCCACCTAAATGCATAATGCAGTTGCATACACCCACACTACTTAAGACAGAATAAAAAAAGTGCAGTAGGCCTACTATGTAAAATGTTGATATGTAGGCCTTCAGGAGAGCAGAGCTTGGATACAGGGAGATAATAATAACCGAAAACAAGTTCATAAGATGAACATCAGCATGAACCCTGCAGCTTGTTTTTGTTTTGCCATCACAACTGATTCGGCACCACACTGTGGTCTGTCATCCTGTCAGACAGCTTCCTGGAAAATGATTTCCCATGTAGCAGGATGTGTTTGTGTCACGCTTGTGGAGGCAGTGCTCGTGTTTGATGGCTATATGTGTGTGCGTGTGTGTCATTCAGTATTCTGGTACTGTAAATGTGAACATAAATGAAAAGCATTAAAACGTTTAAATGTTGGACTATACATACAAATGATGGTGTTGCTGCAGTGAAAGAATGGAATAGCAGTGGAGCCTGGATTAATGTAACACTACGTAAGCCTGTCTCCTAAGCTGGTGTCTGTGTGTTTCCCTGCTGGGACAAATGATGCTTTGGAAAGATTTTTGGTGATGAATTTTGATATTCCCCTCCCATCTGTCTGTCTCCTGCCATTTTTAGTCAAAGATACATTAACCTTTGGGCCTTTCAAGCCGAATAATATCATG